TCACTTGGATTTAAAAAAAAAAGTATCCCTTGGATTTTAGATGAAATAGTAACGAACCAGCCTTGAGGCATCTTTATAAGTAATGTTTTTTTTTATTTAATACTGAAGAAACTAAAAATCATGCAGAAAACATAAAGTAGAACTTTAACAACGGAGTTTAGTTAACAATTAAAAACTTATTTTCAGTGAACATCCAGTTTATGGTGAAAAATAACTGGCTGCTGCGTTGGCCTCCTTTTTGTAGTGAAAATATACAAATAACTCATATTTTATCTCTTTACTTCTTCCTTTTTTTCCTACATGTGAAAAGAAATTGACAAACTTTCCACAGATGTTCAAAATTTACTAAAACTTCAGAAGGAACCAGCAAACTTATAAAATTCCTGTAATTATAATTCGTGAAAAGAAAATAAATTTCGTCATTCAAATAAAACTCTAAATTGTATACGTTACCATCACTGGTGTTTGGTTTAATAATGGTTTTTGCTACATTTATGTATAGACATACATAGTGTTTTTTCTTAGAGGTTCGAACTTTATATTTTTCATTTAGCTTTTGAGATGAAGACAATTTAAAAATTGTATCCAGACTTTTCAAAGTTCAAACTCTTAGGACCAAGACTATAAACTTGGTGTTATTGTAAATAAATTGAAATATTTGGCTCGCTGTGTAATATACATCTCTGTGCATTCTTCAAAATATTGATTCAGGAATTAATATCAAGTATCCCGCTTCAAGTCTCACCTTGTCGTCAAATTGGGTCGAAATATAATTAAAATAATTATGTTTGGATCCCGTATCTCAAAAACAAAGCGTTTTCGGGCACATCTGGCTCCACTTCTAGCACCAGAATCGCTCAAAAAACCGCCTCCCGAAATGTGGACGCGCATTTGAAAAACACCCTGTATTATGATTTTCTCACAAAATCAACGTAAACAAGAGGCGTCGGAAAACGGCGGCGGCGATTCGAGTCAGCTGATCGACCTTGGTGGAAGAGCAACAAATACGATCATGCATCACGTCTTCACGCACAATGGCGTGTAAGAGTTCAGGACTTTGGCTGTGTGATGCCGTTGCATTCGTCAGCATGGCGCACGCAACCCCGTGGCCAAAATATCGTGCACATGCCGTGTGCCGTTGTTGTTTTTTTCTACGCCGTCCTACTTCTACAAGTCTGCCGTTTTTGAGTATACGAGTTCATTCATCTGGCCTTTGGACCCCTATATATAGTGTGCTTTCTTCGATTGTGGGGGAATTTAAAACGTTCATTAGGCATGGGAGAGCTTCTATGACTCAATCAAAGGTGTATGGGCTTCAATTCTAATTCAAGTATATTAAACCTGCCTAAAATACCCAAGATATACGAGGTGACCTCAAAACGTAAGGCGACTTTTAAGTTTCATCAAAAATACACTTATGCCAACGTTTTTTCCAATTCTTTCCAATCTCCTCCTTCCTTTCATGGGTTTTTTGAGTTTTGAGAACAGGAAAAAGTCGCAAGGGGCCATATTCGGTGACTGAGACATGATTCTGGTTTTGTTTTTGGCCAAAAAGTTAGACACAAGCAACGATGTGTGAGCAGGTGCATTATCGTGATGCAAAATCCATGAATTGTTTTCCCACAATTGCGGATATTTTCCTCGTATTGCTTCTCACAAACGGCGCATAACTCAAGGTAATACTCTTTATCCACCGTACGATCTTGTGGTAAGAATTGTTGTACTACGCCACGATAATCAAAGTAAAGGTGCTTTTTTTGGTCTTAGCGATTCTGGGTTCTTCCGTTGGGACGACTGGGCTTTGGTTTCGACGTCATAACCATATACCCTTAATTCGTTTGCGGTAGTTCACACATTCCATACCCAAAACATCACTTGCACGGCACGAGCCAATAAAGATTCCGACATCTTGGGCCACTACTGTAGTAATAGTGATTTGACGATTTTTCAACACCATTTGCTTCACTTTTTCAACGTTTTCATCAGTTATTGACATGCTGGCGTGTCCGTAGCAGAGTTCGTCGACGTCGTATGTTAGAGACGTGTGTACCAACAAACAAACAAAATATCGAAGATCGAATTTACCTCTCACCTCACTCTTTGAACACACCTGCTAAATACCAAAGTAAATAATAAAAAAATAACAATTTTATGAAACGGTCGGTGCTAAGAAAAAAGCTTAATTTATGCAAAGATTTTTCCTTTATCTGGAGTATTGAGGTATAATAATTAAAAGTCATCACTATTAGTTGACCATTCAGGACTGTAGAAAGAAAATTACTATGGGCCAATGATCTTCAATATATGTTTTTCGAATGTCCCACTTGTTTGCTTGCAGAGAAATAAACGTAAGAAAAAACAAAGAAAAAAACAGTAACCAAAACAATTGAAAATATTAGCTGTCAAAATTACTTGTGGATGTCAAAAACTTTCCCTTTGGAGGTGTGCTAATTTTTTCGGTAGCAAGGGGAGAAAATCTTTAAACATTAAAAGAAATCCCGTAACCCTGACAATATGTGCGGTTATTCGGAACATACAATTCGAAAATATGAATTAAAAAGCAACGCATAAAGGATGTTTCGCTATAAATCACCCAAAACAAATATTTTTTAACGATTTAACGAACCCGTAAGTAAATTATTCGACCGCACCGCTAAATCCGTCGATAGAGATGTCGAAGTCAGCGTCGCGCCTTCGAAATTCAAAATGGGGAAAAAATATACACTTGAATGGAAAACTGGATGGGCTCTCGGTCTGTCTTTGTTAAATGTCTTATCGCCACAATTAACGGTTTCACTGTTCTCAAACATCGATCTAAAGCGGAAATTATACAATAGAAAAGGACCACTAGTAATGGAGATTGATGTCTTTCTGGTACTCATCAATATGAACGAGGGAATCTAGTGTGTTCTTCATTGTTCGATCAAACAATATAATTTTAAAACATTTGTATAAACTATTTATATAAAAATTGATGTGTGTGATATACATTTTTTCAGGAGTATTATTTCAGAAGAACAATATTCTTATTCTTTTAAATTTGTTGAAAAAAATGAAAAATAAAAGAAAAGAATGGTTATACTTATATAATAACTTGATACGTTATGATTTATCTATAGGTCTGAATGGTCTATTTATAAATTGTATATGCTAATATAACATATAAAATAAAATAAAGCAGCGACCACCAAGCTCTGAAAGAAATAAACCAAGACCTTGTAGAGGTAGCCGAGTTCTTCAATTACCACAAACTGGAAATAAATGCAGTGAAGTCGTACGTTATACTTTTTGGCAATAACAAAAATGAAATTCGGCATAACTTTAAAATTCAAATAAATAATTGAAAACGCGTGCCTACGTTTTAAACAAAAAAAAGCTCGGCCCAAAACGGTTTAAATTAAAGTACAAAAATTATTTCTTTCATATTTACATAAAAAAATGCTACTCCATTGTTGTTCCTTTTCTTCATGCCTACGATTTTCCTGCCAAGTGTTCCTCATTCAACAAATAGTACCAGTAATGTTAGAATCACAAATTTTGAACGGTATTTTCTTTTTCATTCGTTATCATAAAAGTTCGCTTATTATTCACAATTTCATTATGTTTTCTGATCCTTTTCACAACATATTTTTTTTATGTTCAACCAATTTTATATACAGGTGCATACATTGCAAAGAAATCATTTATTTATTTATATTTATTTACGAAAAAAAGCAATCATCATTACTACCCGTCTCATTAAATTGATATTGACTGCATTGCTCGAATCATTCCAGGTTAGATCGATTTTATTGACCCAAAAGCACTCGAATCCGCATGCATATTGGCCTGTTCCGCCGCTGAAGATTGAGAAAAAATTTAAATAAACCATCAACTCTTATACGGCCCCGTAAATAACAATTAACCGGCCGAATACAAACAGTAAATTGGCCCATAAACGACCTCTCATCTAGTCTCTTCATTAGCCGGTCCGTTTTTAATAACTCACGCCCCTATACGAGCACCCAGTATATCATACGAGCTCCCAAACATGCCCGACGCGGCCAGAGGCGTCCGCGAAACTTTTTTGCGTTCGCTGTTCTCGTCGTCGCGTTGGGTGCGCGCCTGATTAAGCCGCTTTCGGCGAGACCCGTATAAATTAGCCGTAAAATAGTCCGGACCTAACACCACCGGAATTTTCGTTCCACCATAGATTGTTGCCCAATTAAACGATCCAAAGCGTTTAAAGGAAAATATCATGCAGAGGGATTCCGAGGAACTTGGAAGCTGTGCTGGATCTGCGCAAAGTTTTTGACCCCCGCTGTGATAAATTCGTACATCGTATATACATTTCCTATATAGGTGCATGCTATTCAGTAATGCCTATTTAAAGTACCGACAACACATCTAGTGGGGATCGACCAAAACCAGAAACAAACATTTGCAAAATAAAACTGACTTAGCTGTTCAATTTGAGAGGGTTTACTTTGGGGACGTAAACGCCATCTTGATTTTTAAAACCCGTTTTGTCCAAAATCTTCTTAATGCTGTTCTAAAACTGAAGCTAATAGAAATATTTTGTTCTATATCTGAAAGGAAAGATAAGTTTTAATTAGTTAGGACTATGGCAATGATAAATAAGAGAAATCAAATTGGAAAAATTGCTCCAAAAACGTCTGCGGTAATAGCTCTATTAAGGCAGAGCTCATTTCCGCGCGAAACCAACAAAGTTAATTAGTGTTTAAGCATTTACGTGACCGAAACGTATAAAACCCGGGGGTATACCTCATACCTACGCGACAGGGCATTAATAACCCTAATTTCGTTACATTTGGGGATTACGCGCCCCCCGATTTGGGAACACCCCCTCCCTCCTCCCGCGATCGAAATTTGCATGTTAGCGATAAGAACGGCCCAGGCTGGGCTCTATTGGGCCATCCGTCAGCGTTAAATCAGAAGTGGGAAAAAGGTTTCGTTTGAAGTTTCGTTTTGATTCACGCTCGCGTTTCGTTTTGTTGCAGTCGTGATGCACAAGGACAAAGAAGACCCGCTAGGGGCTCATCGATCCAGGGACCTCACCGCGTTCGACCACACCCCCTTGGACGGCGAGATGTTTCTGCAGGTAAATATGCAAGAAGGTTCAGGTTGGGGGACTTAGCATTAAACCTGCCCAGCACAACGCGTGCGTGTGGCCGTTTCTTACTTTTTTGGCAGACTATGCATTCAGTGTTTTCGAAGCATTTAGCCTTTCCTTCACCGCGGATCTATCGTGACTTCCTTTGTTGAAAAAAGCCAAATTATCATTTTTTATATTTAAATCCCAGTTTTTTCCACACCTTCCAAGTACAGTTATCGTCCTAAGTGTGGCGTTTTACATGTGTGATTTCCAAGTACGTTATTAAATTAGGAAAATCTGTTTCGGAAAGACTGGTGGTGTAGTGTAACTGTAATAGGCTCTTGATTTCTCTCTAACAAAGCACTAGTAAATTTTTCTCGCATCACAATCCTTAGATCGTCTGCATATCCTAATCAGTAGAAACTTTCTGCAGACGGTTTTGCAGTAGTGTACTATCACCCACAACGGAGGAGAAAAAACCCTCCCCTCTGCTACCTTCACGGTGGTCTGTCTGACTGCATGTTATCGTGCTTGCTGCGGTGCGATTAAAAGCCAAGGCAAGGGGACTAGTGTGTTTCCCTTTCTTTTAGCAGAATTGTGAATAAAGTTTAAAAAGTTTTAACAAAATGATTATAGAAATAATAATAATTTTGTTTCTCAAGGCACTCAACGGCTTCCTGATGATACTCACCTGCGAAGGTGAGGTATTTTTCGCGACGCACAGCATCGAAGGCTACCTGGGCTTTCACCAGGTAAGTACTGACTTCACCCGCGTGTCAAACGTTCACAATGTTGTTTCTCAGTCAGATATTGTCCACCAGTCCGTTTACGAGCTGGTTCATTCGGAGGACAGGGAGGAGCTGCAGCGGCAGTTAATGTGGAACTCGTTCCTGCCCCCGGAGTCGGCCAACATGGGCCTCCAAGACGTCCTGCAACAGGAAAACTGCCACCTGTTGGAGAGAAGTTTTACCGTACGCTTCCGATGTCTTCTAGACAACACTTCCGGTTTTTTGGTCAGTTTCTCTTCTGCGCGGACGCTGGTCGCGATAACGAACGGTTTGTTGCAGAGGTTGGATATACGGGGGAGAGTGAAAGTACTGCACGGCCAGAACAGAAAGTCGGAGGAACCGCCGCTAGCGCTGTTCGCCATTTGCACTCCGTTCGGACCACCGTCGCTCCTGGAAATACCCCAGAAGGAGGTCATGTTCAAGAGCAAGCACAAGCTAGATCTCTCGCTAGTTTCTATGGATCAGCGGTACGGGTGAGATGTGAGAAGGCAGTTTTTTTCACGGTAGTGATGTGTTGCAGGGGCAAAATACTGCTGGGATATTCGGATTCGGAATTGGCTAACATGGGAGGCTACGATTTGGTGCACTACGACGATTTGGCATACGTCGCGAGCGCCCACCAAGAACGTAAGTACCAAGAGTTAGTGTTTCCCCCTTCAAAAATAACCAGTTTAGTTAAAATGGGTCAAAATATTGCAGTGCTGAAAACCGGAGCCTCCGGCATGATAGCCTACAGGTTCCAGACCAAAGACGGCCAGTGGCAGTGGCTTCAGACCAGTTCCCGCTTGGTCTACAAGAACTCCAAGCCGGACTTCGTCATCAGCACGCACAGACCTTTGATGTAAGAGCTGTACCTCTCAACGAAGACTCCATTCACCGATCATGTGGTTCGTTTCAGGGAGGAGGAGGGCCGTGACCTCCTCGGCAAACGCACGATGGACTTCAAGGTCAGTTACTTGGACGCAGGGCTTCCCAATTCATACTTCTCCGAGAGCGAGCAACTCCTCACGTCGCCAACAGTCACCCAGCACCCGGTGTCGTCTACGCCGACGAGGGTAAACCGCCGCTACAAAACGCAACTGAGGGACTTTTTGTCCACGTGCCGCACCAAGCGCAAACTGTCCCACAGCTCGTCCAGCGGACAGGTCACCCCACCCACCAATGCCGCGGTTACCACTTCCGTTGTGCCTTCGATGCCGCCGACGGTAAGGCACCTGCGCCGAATTCCTCCGATATTTCCCCGCATTACCCTGCAATTCCCAAGAAATTTCCCCACATTTGCCTTCAAATTCTTCAAAGAAACTTCCACAAGCTACTGTAATACAATTTATAAAACTTCTGCAGTACTTATATATTGTTTGAGGGGGGCGGAGCTAACTGAAGGGCATAAACATCATCTCTCTAGACGTCTCTCTATAGACTCTCGGATTTTTCGTTGGTAGAAGAATTGATTACATGCAAGAAGTTTACTTTTATCAAATAAAATTGGAAGATTGAAAATGGAAGCCTTTGAGAAGAAAGCTCTTTTCACCTTCCATCTACGTCGTTGATACTTTTGTAATTTGACCTCATGGTCAAGAATCCCTAACATACGTTTTACTTTGTTTGAATTAGAAACTAATAATAACCTTAAATTCTTAGACATTCTTATGAATAGAAAACTTTAATTGGGTCATTGTGTTTACAGAAAACCTATGCACTCAGATCGATACCTTAGTGCATCCGGCCTCGATAATCATCGGTTATCAACAGAGTCGTAAAACTATCTCAGCCTGAGTCACTGAACCCAGAATTGGAACACCTGACCTCTGCTCTTCTCCCTAATAATTTCCATATTAAAGATATTAAGCGTTCTATCACAAAATACACGTCACCACAACCTTCTAATAGCAATGAGCAGTTGCCGAACACAATCACGAAACCGGACATTCGATAAAACTAAAATTCTGGCATGTAATCAATTCTTCTACCAACTAAAAATCCAAGAATCTATAGAAATCTATAAGCAACCTAACAATCTTAACCGCGGCTCAGGTCTTTACCTGGCACCGATACTGGAATCAGTCATTCGAGACGATGTGCAGGTACACAATAAAATGCAAATCAGTTTCAGTGAAGCTCAGGATGAGAAGCCAACAGGATGAGAAGTTTTGTAAATAGTATCTTCAAATTCGCCGAAATTCCTTTACAATACCCTGAAATTCCCTCCAATATCCTGAAATTATAAGACATTCCTTGAAAACAGCCTTCAATTCCCTGAAGTATCCTAAAATTACGTTTGAATTCTCTTGATTTTCGTTATAATTTTACACTGAAATACCCAAGTGATTTACCGGTAGTTTTTTTTTAAACCTCTTGCGTCCACAGATGGATTACATAGCCGACGGGTGCACGGCGACATACAACATGTACGCGTCCCCTTACGCCACCGCTACCCCCGACCACAGCCTGTCGTACATGACGCATTCGGCGACCAACTTCAACCACTCCCTGTATCCTACCGCGACTGCTCCCGATAACCGCTACCTCGCGACCACGGAAAACCTGTTCCACCAATACAGGCCGTTGAGCACGTACTACCCGGAGTACCACCACGGGGCACCTTCCGCACCCTACAACGGCTTCCTAGACATGACGTCGCGAACGTACGATCCGGCGGCATCGAGCGCCGGTCACCACCCCACGTATCGGGTCGCCGTCGTCGGTGATAAATTGTACCCGTGCCACCAGCAGGTGGTGGACACCACCCCCGTCAAGTATTCGACGTACGACGACGCTCGGGGCTACGTGGTGCCCAACAACAAATGTCTGGACGTCGGGTGGCCCTACTCGGTGAGCCCTTCGTCGGGGATCATCCAACCGGTCCAGGTCATGAGCACGCAGATCGACATCGCCAAAGAGGGGATGAAGAAACATGTGTCGTCGCCCCAGCACGCCGGGCTTATCACCCCCAAACTAGAGGAGATTAAGCAAGACGCGCAGGAGAGTCCGGGGGGTCACCACATCGCGCGGCACTTTTCTCCTGCGCAGCCGACAACGGCGCAGCAGGAGATGCCCAGCAGGCAGACGGTGCTGATGTGGGGTTCGCACACTTCCACCCCCATGAATAGCCGGAGCCCCATGAGCGATTCGCAGCAGGAATACCACCAGATAAACTCGGTGGCGGTCACGTCTGAACCAAACTGCGACGCCCTAAAGGGATTGGCCGAGATCGGTAACCAGTGGAACGGAGTGGGGGAGGACAGCGGCAAGGGCGAGGTGGTGACCCAGAGCAGCGATTCGGACAGTCCGAATCAGCACCACGTCAGCCACCACAACCATCACAACTCGCGGGTCGTGATGGTTCTGTGATAAAGGCGCCCTCCAGCCGCGTCGTGTATAGCAAAAACTTTCGTGCACATCAAGGAATGTAATTTCACTGAAAAAAAAAAACGTATCTTCCGTAAAAATTGTTTATCGCCCCGAAAGTATGTCGCGATGTCTTCGAATTAGTGGTGGGGGCGTATTTTGTTTTCCCGGGTTGCGCGCGCGTTGTGATCCAGCGGCGTGGAGCGGCGCCGCTATAATTTATTTTTGAAATACATAGTATAAACAACAATGCTAGTCAAACCATAGTTACTTGTAAATTTCGTTGTACATTATTATTTATATATTATTGTGTCGAGGTGACGAAACGAATTCCATTTTTGCAATTATTGTGGCCCTTTGGACATGAGGTGGGGCGAGTTAAATCGGAAGCCGCCTCCGCGGTGTTTGGTTTAATGCGGTCCATTAAAACGCTTTAATGTAAAAACGTACCTATAAAAAATATTATGAAATAAAGAATTGCTATAAACGGTAGTTTTGCTTTGTTCCCGTTAAAACTAATTCCACAAATCTCTACCGCATTAGCTTTTAAATCCTTAACTTGGAAGTTAGTGGGCGAAACAACTAAAGGAAGAAGAGTTTTGTCAAAAAATGCGGCTTCGCCTGTATAACGTTGTTCTATGCTCTCCGATTTTGACAGTTTCTCGAATCGCCATTAGTTAAATAAGCACAGACGGTAAAGGATGCGAACCGAAAAATAAATTCGACAACGGGTTCTGCCATAACCTCAATTTGCGGTTGCTTTGAATTTGCAAGCAGGAAATAAGAAATAAAATGTTTGTTAGTTCCAGTAAGCGTAAGCTTATCTTTAAAACTTAGCAAGCACCGAAAAATCCTCATTTTCAGGGTTTTTCGGGATTATAAACGCCACCAAGACTGCCAGTAGTGCGGTGATTGCACCCTGCTTGACCCGTCATTATGCGGCTAGAAAAGGTACCCGAGCGCGCCGCGAAAAAGGCAAAGTTAAAGTGCAAAAAGAAAAGGCCGGTTTTATCCCGCACAATTTACGTAACAAGGATAAAATATTGGAAGGCAGACAATCGAGGAAATTCAACGATGACTGGAAACGCCTGCCGATAGACAATGTCTACCCGATGAAATATTATAGGTGGATTGTATATCCTTTCGACGAAGCAGTCAAGGCGCATAGAGAGACTCACCATCCAGAAATATACAACCAACCTAATGCCCCGCTTCATGTTTCTATTGAGCTCAACATGCAAGGGGAAAAAAAGGTTTGTTGCTTCTTGGATGTATTGAAAGTTATAAGCAGGGCTTTTACAAACTTTTTTTTTTGATAAGTTAAAATTTTTTAAATGCAAAATATGTTATATCTAAATTTGGAGACTAGTATAAAATTTATGTAGCTACCAGAGGTTAAGTATGTTGACAAGGAAAGTTGCTTTTTTATTACTCACCTAAATATAAGTTCACATTTTATTTTATTTTGTTTCTAAATAATAAAAATTAATTTACTTGGATTTTTAAACTGGCTAATGTTGGGACAGCAATAGCGTGCTCCCCAAAATAGAACCGCGAAAAAAGGTATGAATAATATTTTGTTTTTCTGTTAGACGAAATTCGTGGACAATTTCAATAGAACAGTGGCCATTAAGCATAAATTCAACCAAGGCGATGAAAGGTCCATTATAGTGTTTGCAAAAAATGAGGAAAGCCAGCGAGAAGCGCTGAAAGCTGGCGCTCAACTTGCGGGAGGAGTTGACTTAATAAAACAAATACAAGGCGGTCAGTTGAACCTTCAAGACTTCCGGTATGTGGCAGCTCATCCGGATATACTGCCGGAACTGGTAGTTTTAAGAGGACTCATGAAAAGGAAGTTTCCCAACCCAAAATTGGGAACTCTGGAGTTGGATCTTGGGAAAGTAGTGGATCGCTATTTGAATGGTATAACCTACACAGCTCAGAAAGACGAGTTCGAAAAGGACTTTGGGCTTATCACTACCATAATAGGGACAGTAAGTTAGTTAATCGAGAGTTGTGTAAAGCTTTGTTTGTTTGAATTTTTAGCTCGACATGGACCCAAAGCATTTAGAAGTTAATTTTTCAGACTTAGTTAAAGATGTGCAATTGAATAAACCAAAGCGAGCAGGCTCGTTTATTACAAGGTGACGACACCCCTCACATACTTTAACCCATCGGGAGTTTATTTGCATTTTCATAAACAGGTGTCTCTTGTGGAGCCCTCCTTCACAAGAAGAATTAAAAGTGGACCATACACTATATTTAGATGAACCAGTTAATGTGGGCTCAGAAGAGGAGGAAGAGATCCAAGAACAAGTGAAACAGGAGATAACTCTATAATTTTTTTTGCCCAGGTAGTTTTAGGTGTAATTTTTCCACATTTCTGCATAAGTGAAATAAAAACTAAATTTGTTGAAAGCTATTTTATTATTACCTATGATAATCACAACTTATTTACAATTAACGTTTAATGACCAGTAGTTTTTTTCTTATAATTTAATATTGACGTCAGACATAATCACCTTTCCAAATAGCCTTGTAAAAAAATAACCTCAAAGATATCTGTCAAAAGACAACGGATATAAAAAAACAAGAAGGCAGTAAATGGTCAACAGAAGGCCAATGTTCCTATTGGCTTTCCGCATTTTAATTTCGTCTAAAAAGCAAGTATTGGGTTAATAGAAAAAGGACTATTATTTAAAAGTCGTTCAACTTGCCAACAATGGTCTTCAGTTACACACTTAGCGCCTCCAAGAAACATACGCAAAATTTTCTAACGGTGTCCACCATTCAGAACGGGGCGATCATGGCGCCAAATTTAAATTGAATCGATCACTCGAAATGTGTTTATGGGCGTCGCCGCAGCACTATTTAGCGTGTTACTTGGTTGTGTGATTGTTATTGGAGTATTTTGAGTTTGATCGCTTAGTTTGCTTATTTTTCATGATCAAACATTAACTTATTATAACTCGTATTTCAAGATTTTGAAATAAATGTAAAAATGTGTGTAAATTGCGATATATAAATAAAATAACTACGAATTAATAAATTAAATATAAGTAAACGCCAAGATGGAAGTATACAGATATTTTTCAAATAATGATATGCTAGAAAAGAAATAAAGTAAAACATGAACCATAATAAAATTTTACGATGCTTCCTTCTGATTGGCTCGGCATCGTTAGAGAAAATTAACACACGCAATCAAAAAAATAATTTTTGGGGTTAGCTCAATTTGTGTAAACAACAGAAAAGAGGCGAAGTTAGAAGAGTGACTTTGCTTTCCTTCGTTACACATCACATTAATGCTAGTTATTGCTTCACAGGCTTTTTAATGAATTTTATATTACACTTGAAACCTGCAAATGTTGCTTACAGTTTTCTTTGTCATATGAGGTCATATTTTCCAAAATGGCCCTTTGAGGGATACGCACACTGAAAGCGATAGGTGGAATATCGACGTGTATAATATGGCCAGGCGGTGCTGCGTAAAAAATTGTCCAAATACGGATTTTGGAGTCTGTTTGTTCCAGTTTCCTACAGATTTGGATCTGTGAGTGGTTTGTTGGTTGAAGGGGAATGTTAAAATTTCGTTTTTAGATGCGAACAATGGATAAAGCATACCAAAAACCTAGAATTTTTAGACGAATTCGCGTATGGAGGAGCTCTAGCGTTTCTTAAACGATTTATTTGCCAATTTCACTTTTCGGAAAACGATTTTTTTATTAAGGGTGACCCTACTAGCGGGTAACAAAAATAATATCTGTAGCAATAACTTTTAAGCTTTAATTTTCAGATTGAAACCGAGCGCCGTACCCAAAACCAGACAGGGCCTGAGACCCAGAGTTGGACTTGGTGACATAGAACTCATTATCTGTCCCAACCCTGGTGGTATAAGGTAACCAGTATTTTCAAATTACAAAACTGTATTAAATAGTTTAATTTGACAGCGAAAATTCTACCGTCAGAAATCTAAAGGATCCGTTAGCTGATCTACAGTTGCCCCATTTAGAGTTAGTATTGAGGTTATGTAACTAACCTACATAACCATAAAATGTATTTAGTAGACCCTTATAGAACATAACTCTATAATTGTAGAAGTTTGGAATCCGCTCATAACAGAAATGCCGCCCGGATATCCCAAAAGATGAGGTCCAAGAGAAAGAGTGAACAGAATATGCTAAAGGCGCGCGAAAGGCAGGAAACAGAAATTGAGAGTCAAAAGCCCACGCGAAGGTTAACTTTGACTCAAGAGTTAACTGTATAAACTAAATTGCCTGAGCTGGTTTCAGGTGCAAAAATGGTGCCCAAGAAACTGATGAGGAACGCGCTCGAAGACGCGAAAGAGACAAAATGAAAATGAGACTTTATAGATCAAAAGAAACCCCGGAGCAACGCGAGGAACGTCGACGAAAAGACAGGGAACGAGCTAGGCGGTACTATACTTGTGTTCCGGGAAGTAGTGACGAGGAAGTTGCCAAAAAAAGGCAGCTGAAGGCTCTGGACAGTCGAATTCGGCGGAGCAAGGAGACTGAAGAGCAGCGAGAAGAGAGGCGAAGAAAAGATAGGGTACGGAATGCCAACAAACGCAGATTAGAAAAACTGTTTCAAAACGTAAAGGGCTCAAAATCTGTGATAAAAACTGAGGTTGAAATAGTAAAACACGAATTGGAATCATAGTCTGAGTAAATGTCAAAGGTAAAAAAACGGTAGAATAAAGTTGGTGTTGATGACTAAAGATTTTATGAGCGTTCCTTTTTAACTTACTATAAAACAGCGTTTTTGAACTCTATTTAATAACTTAAGAGTATTAATAAAATATATAAACAAAACCATTTTATTTATTCACTTTGAAATTTAAAATGCAACATTATGAGGCATAATTCTCGTGAACTGCCAAATATTAGTCAATCAGTTCATTAACTTCAGGGCTATGGTCTTTGCTCTCACTTATGATATCTTTCCCAGCTCGCAGTTGCCTTAAAACTAAATCCGGAATGTCACTGTGCTTTTCAAACTGGTAAAATCCGCAAGTCTGTATACCCAACAGCTCTGGATTGCGGTTCCAAAATTCGTCCTGTATTAGATCCTCATGTAGAGGCACAATTACGATCTTGCACCTGTCGCTGCCTGGGTGTTTGACCCGTTTTCTTAACAAAATAGTACCCTTCTTATATAAGACTGGCTCATTATTATAATTTGTATGGAATTCACTAAACAATATTTCATTTTTATCACTGGACAAAGTACCGCACAGTCTCTGATCTGCTTCGGTGTTTGTTAGACCCCCCTTAATCACTAAAGCCCAGAAAGTCGTATTGTATAGGTTGTTTATGTGGCAATCCGCCTGTCTCCAGCTAAGGTAATCTCGTAGGTTGTCGTCCGATGGATACAGCACAATCCTCGAATCAAATGAAGGGGGATATTTTAACTTCACGTCTTTGAAGTAATCTTTCCAAAAAAAAACGTAAGACGACGTAAATAAACTATTAATATAGGTCATAATTTTCGATCTTCTGCGGTTATAAAGAGTTGTGTCTTTGCGAACGACGAACGAGTACTCGTCACTTTGCCCGTATGCCAGTAACACATCCTTGTATTCTTCCATGACGACCGAAGCTGCTTTGTTCATGAGACCCAAAGCTCGCGCGTCGTTAGGTTTTTCGAAACTGTGTTTTTCCGAGAACTTGTGAAACGATTTTCCGTCGACTCTGACTACTATCCAACAATTGGGCAGCACGTTTTCGTCGCTTTCGTAATTTCTCACGTATTCAAATTTGCTTTTGGCCATTTTCGACACGGCAAAAGTTGAAGGAACGATATTATTCTTGAATAACTTGGCAATGATCATTATATGTTTTTTTTGAGGTTATGTGCTCGCTATTCACCCAAAATAATTTTAAAAAGAAATTTTTGAAAACGTGAATCGACACAAAGAAATATTTAAAGAACTTTTCTTTGCGTAAAGACTTTATAACAAAATTTATTAATGTGTAAATCGAAAAAAATTTTTTCGACGCAACCAACAATACACTTGGATCTGAATTTGATGGAAACCAAATTGGGAATTACCACTGATTTGAATTCGTACACAAATGAAAACACTGATTATAGTCCATCATATCAAACGTTTATTTCAAATAGGAGCAGTTATTAACGGTATTACTCATCTGTTATATGATTTTGTCAACATTGCGGGCAAACATGGGCGCATCGTCGGCCGGGGGGTCGCACGAGGTGGTTTGCTTCATTTGGTTCTGAAAATGTACAATCGAATGAAAGGCGGCTCCGTCGCACGCTTCTTGAACTTACTATCAAGTACTGGCAAATAGCGTTGGCGGACATTTTGAAGTAAATATCTGGAACGTCTTGTATTCGACTCCGCTTGCCCTCCGCCCCCTTCCAGTTCCTAGAAAACGTCACCTGCGAGTCGCACCCTTGTGGTATTAACGCAGATATGGCGATGAAAAGTGCCAAGCACCGGATGTATCTAAAGATTTTTAAAATAGGTAATAGACCCTGAAGCGGAGACTGAAAATGGGACGGACCATCGATAGACAACCAGTCGTACACGCGAATCATGCGCAAATAAAACGTACTAACGACACTTTCTAGACCAACAAAACGTATTTACTATCAACAAAATTAAATTAAAAAAGACTCACCTATAATTCGTTTTCATTGCTGAATCGATTGCAATTACCAAACTACCCCCGAAAGGACGGAGCGCCGATTGACCTGGCGACGGACCTTCCGTCAAATTTATACCGGTACCGCGGAAAATAATTTGTTTTTACGTATGCGAAGTCTCATTTTCCGCTCCGACGAACTTCGCGAAAACTTTAAAGAAGCGAATTATCCAGAGGGTTGTTTTTACAAATCGCCGGACATCGAGTGGGCCTCCCGCCCGATTCTTTTTGATGTTTTCAGCGTCAAGACGTCCGAGTTCGTTTGTCTTTTCGGTCCGTTCGTTTCCCGTTTCTTTTTCGCCCGAAAGCACATCGCTATACAGGGCGTTCCAACATATGTAATTTCCCGTTAAAAATTGATTACAGTTTCCTTTATAGTCGCTAGGCGAGATGATTTTTTTTTTAAAGAGAAATCAAATTCATTAATATTTTTGAGACTTCTACAGTGGCGCGTTGGAAATTTTTTTAATATGTTGAGCAAAAAATCCAATATTACTGAAAACTGTATACTCATTTCATATCTACTTTAAAATATTGATGGTAGGTTGTAGCATTCTCAAATTTTTGATTTTAAATATACAGTTCTTGCAATTTTCCGAAAACTAAAGAAAAGGGTAAAGTCTCTGACGGAAAAAAAAAGTTCAGATTGTCGCCTAATGAATGTCGATGATTCGGAAATAATGGGATTATCGCACGATCAAAATCCTTTTGAAGATATAGGCAACCTGTACAACCTTCCTAGGTCCTATCGATGCTTTAGCAAATTGAAAAGGAAAATGAAGTAATGTTCATTTGCACTTTGTAAGTGGCACGTAGGAATATAATTTTACCTACTAATTATCAAAAAAACAGTTTCTAGTTCAAAATAATTTTTGTTAGTATATACGGGGTGTTCGAAAATTAAGTTCGTAAACTTGGAGGAAAGATTCAAACTAAAATTATTGATTAAAAAAACACAACAAAAATAAAGCTTTCATTTTTTTTTATTTATACAATCGGACAAACTACGAAACAGTCGGGGTTCGGCACAGTTTCGGCCTGGGCTCGAACGCGCAGTCGCAGACTTTGTCCCCGCACACGCCGCACGGCCCGCTACCACCTAAAACCAATCACCCTCGAAATTAATTCAAACCTCTTCGCTCCGAACCGACCATCTCGACGGCGAGCGGTCGACGTTTCGAACTCGTTCAAGCCGTCTTCGGCCACCTCCTTGCGGATGGCGTCGTAGCAGCCGCAACTGTACCTGCTTTGATCGGCTCTTAGCGGCTGGAGGGGCTCCATGTAGCAGATGGGCGTGGAGGGCCACCTAGATCCGCCCACCCTGTTGGTTTTGTTGTTCATGAAGTGACGTATCAGCCCGCGGGGGTTGTCGAACGTTTTGGGCTGACCCGCGTCGAAGATGCCCCTCTCCGACGACGGTTTGTGGTGGAGCTGCTTGGTTTCCTCGCTGAAGGTCCTTGCGGACGAAGGCAACCCCAGGTGAAGCTCCGGAGATCGGTACCCCTCCAAGAAATCCTCGCCTCGAGGGGGCGAGGTGTCAATGTCGTCTTGATCGAGCTCGGCCTCCAAAAGGTCCACCTCTTCGCAGGGTTTGGGCTCTTTCGCCTCCACGGCGGGATCTTGCCTCCCCAAGAGCCGGCACTGCACTATAAAGTCCAACTGTTTCCTGACGTTGTCGTTAGCCGTGGTCTGGAATTTGAACAAATTACGCTCCAAAAACCTAGACTTTATAGCCTCAAACCCTAATAAGCCTGACTACTGTCTTGTCCAGGTCCTGGTGGAGTGCCTCATCTACCAGCTCCGGCCTCTCCAACAAACTGAACATGACGGCGTTGACGTAATGCAGGCAATACGTCTTGTCGCCGTCGAGGAACTTCTTTAACATCGCCACCACCTTCTTGGACATTTTCGCAGCCCTCGTCTTGGCCTCATCCACCTCGATAAATAAAACTGACCCAAACATTCACTTCGGCGAAAAGCCCACGTACCAGACATAAGTTCATAAGTAGCGCGGTGGCGTACTCGAGGCAATATTTGGACAACACGTCGTAGAAGTCGTCCAAGTAGTCCACCAGGAGTTCGAGCAGGCCTTCGCGCACTATCGCTGCGCGACACTGCTTTCGTATCGACAGCTTCTGAATGCTGGCGACGAGCATATCCCTGACGACGCTCGAGGATATCGTCCTGATGTCGCGGGCCATCTTCAGGAGCGTCCGTTTGAGGATCTTGTCGTCGGTGGTGAGATAGTCGCGACCGTGACGCAGCGACGCCATGGCGTTGATCAGTCTGAACACCGATTCCTTAAATTTGCGTCGAAGAATATACATTTTTAGAAAAGCGGTTGACTACGGGTATACTTCGACCAGAAATATAGTGCTTTTACAACCGAACCCGTGATACTCCAAAACTCCAAACCCCTTATAGAACACCCTGCCGAGTAGACCCTTACATAAAAGACTTTTTTTTTATTTGCTGAAGTAATTCGTCTTCTAAATTGTCGTTAGCTCCGACTACCTTATTCGCTTCGTCTAGAAATTCTGCGTTGTTTTTCATCTGCTTCATTCCACGGTCTCCACATTTTAAAGTGTAAAAAACAGGAACACAGAACAAATGTTTAATTGTAAGATTCTAATAAATGTTTATCTGTGTTCTTATGACGTAGCTTTATCTCCCACGAATATAATCTATAGCCTTAAAAATCCCTTAAAATCGTTACTCGACAGGCACACAAGGCGAACATGATTATTTTCAAACTTATCTGTAAGATAAATAGAGTACAGGTACTTACCCGTACCCTTTGAACGATCCACTGCCTCGCAGGGTCAAAGCTTGAGAATCAGGTACGTAAATACGTACTTACTGGAAGGATCACAGTCAAATACTTCCTTAATATATACGAACATATTGCAATTTAGATTAAACTCTTAAGAACGGTACGTATCACCTGATATTATTATTATTACGATTCGAAAATATCCCTCAGCATTAGTAACATTAAAAAAAAAAATTAAAGTTTCTACAAATATTCGTTACGGTCCATCCCAATCTGTTGGGATTTACCATGGTCCTGCATAGGTCTGCGGTTAAAGCACTGTAAAATACTTAAAACGTCAAAGCGCTAAATGCACTATATTTTTGGTCGTGTTATACCTGGACGCGTGGGTCTTCGGTCGTCAGCCTTTCGGGCACACTGACGTCACGACGCAATTCGAAAATGTCGTTTTGCGCAAATGATTCCATCGTCCTTTGCCGTTCCGTCAAATCGGATTTGGTCACCCTCTAAACGAAAATGGAAAGTAAATAAAGGCAAACGAAAGAAATTAGTTAATTTTTTATGAGCGAAAAAAGATTTCGACGCCCAAAAAACACACTCACCCATCGCAGGGCTTGCAAGATCTTAACCTTCTGCTGACTGTCCGAATTTAAGAGGTCCCGCTTGACCTTTGCGTAGTCGATTTCGAACCAACGGCCCCCACGCCAAGCGCCCCCCTCCCCCGAGCCGTCAATTTTGACAGGGGACGCCGCTACGTCGTCCAAAACATCGTCGACGATCTTCTGCACATCCCCGCGATGTAGAGGGGCGCTTCGAACCGACCTGGACGGCTCCGGAGCGAAAATCCTATCGAAGACGGTATCCAAAACCTTCCTCACCGTTTCCGGGGTGAGCGGTGTGCGAGACTCCAGCGTTTCCAAATTTAACGGCTCTTCGGGCGGATTTGGTGTCGTTTCTTCACTTTTGATTACCATCAGGGGTGTTTGATTGTGTCTCGGATCAGTGAAGAGGCCTGGGTATATCGTTTTGCATTGTTCGAGGGCGCTGGAGATGTTCTCCGTCTGGCTCACGACGTTCAATTGGATCGTACTAGTTAGCTCTGACGTCACGGCTAAAACGCGGTCTTACCGATGCAGACATTACCTCTTACCGGGCGAAACTCACCGATCAGTCTCTGGTGCTCGCGATGCAATTGGCTGAATTTGTTCTTGAGCTGGCAGATGTCCGACTTCGCACTCCATTCGCTATCTTTTGGTCGGACGCTGCTTTGTGGGCATCGGAAGGTTTATTTTTTTTTAAATGGCTCTACCGATACCGTACAATGGTTTACTTCGGACTCTGGTGGTCGCAAACGTACACCACGTGAACGCCATCGTCTTTGAGTTGCTGGGGCTCGCCCTCGAATGTGCCTTCCAGAAAACCGTTAAGGTGGCGCTCGAGGTCGGTCTGATTGGCGACGTTGCGGGAGCATTTGCACCGTCTCAGCATAACCGACTTGGCAGGAACCGCGGCAAGATTGAAGCCCGAAGATTCGACCTCCATTTTAAGCGCGTCGGCGGCTTCGGGGAAATCGTGGCTTTGGAGGAACTGAAACGGACCGGGACGGTGGGAAGTTGGGAGCTGGACGTTGCTGCAACTCTTACCAGGATGATCGTTTTAAGCACTCCCAGCGAGCCGGCAGAGGGGAGGTTGGAGTCGGCCATAACGGAAAAGGCACCAGTGCGGTTTGGCCCTTCAGCGTGGAGCCGCCGGACGGATAGGAGAACACGGAGTATTTGACACTGTTCGAATCGATAAGACGTCAAAATTGCATGCTGAACGTTTGTTGGCAACAAAGTTCGGGGCCCTCCTATGTACCGAAAGACCGTCGTCTGGACGTAATGGGGAACTTCAACAAAATTTTAATACGAAAAATATTGCTTATAAAAGTAAGTTGATAGTATTAAAAGAACCACAGTTCACAACAAAAATAATTTCTTAGTTCAATGTAACAAATGTAAGCAGAATTGTAAAAATTAAATCCTCTTCAAAACGCGCTGTCATTGGCTATAACAGGTCAATTAATTTTAATTTTTGTTTAATATCGAAAAGAAAGTTTTGAAAATGACCGAAGTCCATTTTTTAAAGGATCAATCTGATAATTTACCTTTAGTGGATGTGTTTATGGTGACATCTTACATATGAAACACCAAAACATGTTGTTTTGCTGAGGTTCGCGGTGTTAAAGATAAAAGCCACTAGTTTTAAGCCAATATAATATTGTAATATTGTAATCAGCTTTTTAACATTCAAACTATATCGCACTGAACATTATCCATCTCTAATGTTCAATGGTTTTAAAAATATAAAGATTAGATAATTTACTGTCTACTTAGGTGGGTTATAACATTAAAATCACATGAAGAAAAAAACAAAACAACTTGCTACTCACGCATGGGTTTACCCGATAAATTTAAGATATTTTTCCGTAAAATTGGTAAACCATAATTACTTTAAGCGATACTTAATTGACGCAACACAAACAAAACACTGAATTCTTTATAGTGCCGACGTCTAAAAAGATGATGCTTTGCTAAAAGTTTCCGGTCGGTGTGGGCGCATAGTGGGCCGACATCTCGCGTGTCTTCTTGTCCGCGGCCTACATTTTACAAATCTGCCATAACGGGTCCGCATAATATCAACGCTGATCAGCAATTCAAATCGCTGGTTCTTCGTGAGGTGCCTCACCCCCCCAAATCCCCCAAGTCGACCCCGTACCTGTTGTGCCTGCCGCCACGTAGCGGTTTCCGTTTTTCCCCAAGGTTTTGACTGCCTTGGCGTTTGATGTGGACCCTCTTAATATTTGTGTTTGAAATTGAAATTGTGATAATCGAAAAAATGATTTAGGTGCTCATTTTGGTCACAAATATCGTTATTTTCGCAATTATTTGAAAATTTCCTCGGAATTGTGATCAGCTGCAATTACTACAATATAACCGACGATGAAGGCAAGCTGACACTACTAACTCTTTTAGACTATTCCAACGCGTTTGTCAGAAAACGCTATTAATCTCAAGCGGTAACATATAATGGTGTAACTTCTTCATTCTTAAATGTTAATAAAGGTATACCTCAGGGATCTATGATAAATTGGTTAAGGCTTTCGCGGCCCGTTGATAAGCTATTATCTTCATTCGGGTTTAAAGGCCGTCGTCGATTGGAATTACTTCCTAACGTTTCGCTAGCACGAGTGGCGAGCTTCTTCAGAGGTTCTTCCATCTCCGATGTTGGACGTAGACTAATAGAAAAAATTTAATTGTAAATGAAACTTTTCTTTACTTGTCTAATATCAAATAGCATTTAATGTAATGAACTATTAATTATTTAGGATAACAAAAACTTTTTAAAACCGGTACTTTTTTTGCAACATTTTGACACCAAAGTTTTAAAAATCCGTTAGAAAATAAGCTCACAGAAAGGAAAAAAACAGAGAAATAAATACATTTTTATAAAAATAGTTGGCTTTGCTTGTATTCATTATTAATTGTCAAGTCGGTAAAATTAAAAATGCAGAAGATAATCTCGACAAGCTCATTATTATTCTCGTAATGTTTAGCAAACAGACAATTACAATATCAATCTATTTTTACAAAGTCAGCTTCATAAAGATGTTGAAGGTTACGCTTAAAAGAATGATAGCCGTGTTTCTTTTTTAAATGCTCCTGACAGATTCTCGTGAAATGTCTAAATCTAATACCACTTCTCTTAGCGACGCAGCTGGATTTACATTGACTTATCTCAAAACATTAATTTCCATTTCTTCATTTATAACAAAATTATCATGTGGATTATTTTGTGGATTTTTCATTTTCAATTCCAGCTTTCTAAAGAAAGAACGTGCAGGAAGGCGACGTCCCGGATACCGGGCTGCATACAATGCACGGTCCTGTCGAGAGTTTTTTGTGCATTCCCCGTATAACAGAAACACATCAACCTTTTCATAATCCAAATCGATAATACGACAAAATCGATAATCTCATAAAAATGTACGAACTGGCAGAATTTTCAATCATGCCAACTTGATGAATAGAAGCAAAGCCACCCATGTAATGTTTTGTTTTTATAAAAATGTATTTGCTTGTCTGGTTTTTTTTGTTCCTGTGAGCTTATTTTCTTGCGGATTTTGACAATTTTGGTGTCGAAATGTTGCAAAAAAAAAGTTTTAAAAAGTTTTTGTTCCCACTAGGGTGCTATTTGAAAAAACTATATTATCCCAAAAAATTAATAGTTCATTACATTAAATGCTATTTGCCATTACACAAGTAAAGAGAAGTTTCATTTACAGTTTTTTCCATAATCAGGTGACCCGGTAAACAGTATTTATGATGGTAACAGCCTTCTAGATACAATTTTCAAAAATTAAAAAAACAAAAAAAATGAGGAAAACCATCCTATCCTACGTAGAATCATCCAAAAATGCAAAAAAAAAGGCTGTTTCATTTAAAATTCGAAAGTCGTTTCCGCTCAAACCGGAAGTGCAACCATTGACTAAATATTGTCAAAAAATTGGACGTTCGGCCTATATTAACCCTTTTAAATTTCAAATCGCTATCTCAAGTCGTTTAAAAGTTATAGTGTTTCTTGTGTCACCCGGAGTATTATTTTAAGATTTTTTTTCCGAATTAGAATTCATACAATTCGTTTTCGTTTGAGATTTGACTTTTGCAGAGTTATTAATATTTATGCTTAGCATTTTTCACATTTTGCGTTTCAAACATATCGTATTTGTTGTATTTAATTATACTTTATAATTATATCGTTTACAACGGTGCTTTACTTTATTAAATGTTTCCACAAATATGCTCCATCAAAAATAAGCCACAGCGCATTATTTTCATCATTTTTATTTAAAAAAAAAAACAATATAAAAATCAGCCAACAGTATAAAAATAATCAACGAAAACAAAAACGGAAAAATATTTACAAAGGCAGTCGAGTTTAAGTAATATACAGTGCGTCATGAATATTTAAGTAACTAATGGCCGAAAGAGCCGGAGGAGAGGTGCTCGTAACCACCCCCGGAGTGGTCGTCGCCGGCTCCTGTAAAATTGTCGTCATAAAAATTTAAATAAAAAAAAAATTACGGAAAAGTACCCAAGACGTCACTGTAGTGACCTTCGAAACCGCCGCCTTCCGACACGCCGTAGCCTTCGTGACCGCCGTCTCCGCCGCCCCCGTGACCGCTGTACTTGCTAGACGCTACGAAACTGCCCCCGAATGCGCCATGATGATGGTCCCCTAAAATCGGGCGTGAAAAAAAAAACGGCGCACGCCAATGCCCTCGGGGCAGTTTATACCTTGATTGGTCAAATCGATGGTCTGTGGTTTGCCGCCGCCGCCGCCTCCACCAACGATGCTAACGCCGTGGTGGAAATCGCCGCCGCCGGAACCGCCGCCGCCGCCTCCCTCGTGACCGCCCCCGTAGCCACCGTCGCCACCGCCGCCGAAACTTTCCAGCGAGTGTCCTCCACTGCCCAGGCTGCTGACGCCGAGCCCATGGCTCGCACCCCCGAAGCTTATGCTCGCCAAACTCAGACCGTGGTCCCCACTGTTGTCCACATGGTCGAAGGCTACGGATATGACTCGTGAAATATGATAGTCACTGCTGTTGCGGTTGCAACTTGCTTCAAAAACCAGAAAGTTTTCGCAAGCACTTTAATTCGTAAAATTAATAAAATATTTCCTTGTAACGCGGGTTGCCAGAGTGTCTGGCGTCTAGCGTATTCAGAATTTATTTTATTTGTTCGGAAAAACCCGTGCGACGCTCATAAGAATTATCCAGTATTGACTCTTGGATTATAGCGCGTCCACTGGATATTATGTGCCGTTAATAAATAATACAACTTTCATAAAAATATTAATTAATGCCTGAATTAGACTGAACTAGTCACTTTCGATTTCCATTCTCCCCGAAAAAATAAAAGTTCCGAATCAATCACGCCCAGCTTCCGCTGCAGGTACTTTCACCTTTGGTAATACAAAATTCGGACAATATTTAATCTCGGGTGATAGTCAAACCGGTTATCTAAGTAAACTTTCCGACGTGCAGGATAAATGCTCGACGAAAAACTAATGCACAAATTTTAAACCAACAGTTATTAGACTTACATGTAGAAACAATGCCGGGCCTGCAACTACCGAGGGCTACAAGCGCGCCACACGCGACCACAAACTGGAAGACAAACACGTTCGACATTAATAATATAAAATCGTACCCTTAAAACTTACCCTGAGCATTATGTAACTGCTTAGATACTTAGAAAAAAAACAACAGTCCGACACTGGTTGACGTAGAAACTAATGTTACTTCCTGGCTTCGGGTATCTTTTATAGTAAAAGGTGATAGTAAGCGGGATTTTTGTAAAGAGAAGGGACGATTCGATCCGCGAGAAAGCCTTTCTCCGACTCAGATGTTGTATATCACGTTTGAAACGAATCAGTCCAGATTTTAACGAGTTTGTTAAACCTATTATTCATTAAAGTCTCCCATATACGCGAGAAACGTTTTTTTCTAATTATTCCAAAATTGCAAAATTAATTAATCAACGGTTCACAAAGCCACCGAAATTAATTATTATTATCGCCCCGGTTTCGACTTTTTTGGGGAGTTCTCAAACAACGTAACATAAATTATTTTTGTTGCCTGAATTTCTTGAGACTCGCGTGTGTATGGACAGTTTTAATCCCCAGAAACGCACTCGTTTTTTTTAAACTTTCATTTATTATCTTGACAAATATCTTGGTTAGTAGATTAAAAATGGAGTAACTTTTTATTGAAATAATATTAACGAACAATCACTTATCTACAGGGATAATTTATGTTAAAATTTTAAATTTCGCGCGGTAGGCTGTCGCTTTTCCCTGACGATTCGCACAGCCTTGATTGGACCGCACGACGCACGCGTCCTTTCGACAGCGATCCATCTTGATGTGGTCCGCTGTGTGATAGAAAACTCTATTTCTTAGTTTATCCGGCTCATCCGTAAACATTTAATAGACCACAATGGTGCAAAAGAAAGTGAGTTTGCTGATATTCGCCTTACGGTATTTATTTTTGTGAAACTGTTTGGTGTTAAAAATTATTTTAAGAAGTAATTCGGGATTGTGACCGAAATTATTGTTAGTGAGTGGTTCTGTTGCTGAATTGGTTTTGATATTTAACATTGAAAAGGTCAGGACGGTGGCTGTTGATTTGCAAATCTTTTCTTTAAAAAAAAATGGAGTTTATAAATTTGTATTCGAGGTTATGTTTACTGTCGCATTTGCCACGAGTTTTGACGCTTTAGTTTAAAAATATGATGACCGTATTTGCTATTTTGATGTGCGATGAAGAAAACTTCACTACCACCATTATTACAGACTGAGATTTGTACAATTGCGCGAAACCGTTAAGATTGTGTCGCTTGAAGACTTCAAAGCTCTTGTTTTTTTAGCCCAAGAAGAAGGTAGGAAAAAAGGTGGCCGCGCCCCCGTTGGCCGTCAAAAAAGTCGAACAAAAAAAGGAGGTAAATCCTTTGTTTGAAAAAAGGCCCAGGAATTTTGGAATCGGTATGTTTTTGAAAACTTTCCTAGTTCTGTTAAAATTGATTACATTCCCATGATGATACATTTTGAATGACTGGAAGAACCCATGTCGACTTTTCAAAATACGAGCTTTTTAATTCTGATTTCTTAATAGTGCGTGTTTGATCACATGTTTGTTAATGTTCAGTTGTAGTGCAAATGTTTGTTTTCAGGCCAGGATGTCCAACCCCCGAGGGACTTGTCTCGGTTTGTTAAATGGCCAAAATATATTAGGATCCAAAGACAAAAAGCTGTCTTGCAGAAGAGATTGAAGGTGCCGCCCCCAATCAATCAATTTACCCAAACTTTGGACAAACAAACTGGTTAGTTACAGGCTATAATCTCCTCATTCTCCCTAAATTAGCATGTTGTGATGATTTGTATTTGCTATCTGAGTTGCTATGAAAATAAAACTGCAATTACCACCAAACACTAATTTCTGAGTAATTTATTTCGTAGCACTGAGTGTTGGGATGATAGTTTGGTTATTGAGGATACATTTTAACTTGCAGCTACTCAGCTCTTCAAGGTGTTGGAAAAGTACAGGCCAGAGACTGCTTTGCAAAAAAAGAACCGGCTAAAGGCCAAGGCGGAAGCCAAAGTGGCTAAAAAGGAAGAGGCCCCATCCAAGAGGCCCAACACGCTCCGCGCGGGGACCAACACGGTCACAAAGCTGGTTGAGCAGAAAAAGGCTCAACTGGTTGTAATTGCGCACGACGTGGACCCAATCGAGGTTAGATTTTCATTATCGTGTGATAACTGATAAACCTCTTAAATACTATGATGCTTTTCTTTGAATTTCTTCACCTGATTTGTATTATATTGATGAAGTTGACACTGAGTAGATAAACGCTGTTCAGCGCTAATTTCAATTCTATATTTTTTTGTAAATAGTGGTTTTTTGCAGTTGGTGTTGTTCCTGCCGGCGCTCTGCAGGAAAATGGGTGTCCCATATTGCATCGTCAAGGGTAAGGCGCGCCTGGGGCTCCTAGTGCGTCGCAAAACCTGCACAACGGTAGCCCTCACCCAGGTCGACTCTGGCGACAGGTCAAACTTCAATAAAATCGTAGAAGCTATTAAAACGAACTTCAATGACCGCGGTGACGAAATCAGACGGCACTGGGGCGGCGGTCTCTTGGGTTCCAAGTCGGCCGCTCGTATCGCCAAGATCGAGCGCGCCAAGGCCAAGGAACTCTCTCAGAAACAAGGTTAACTTGTTTTTTTGTAATAAATAACGTTTAAGGTTGTCGATGATGTTTTCTTGGTCCACAATCCTGAACTTACCTTTTCTTCGTCGCTTTTAAGCGAAAAATCGCGGTGGGACATTTGAACTACTTTTTCAGGATTACCGTCAGAGGCATGTTTAACATGAGAACCAACATTAAATAAAGATAAAGATAGCTTTATTTAAATAAGACATATATAAACAATATGAAACAACGAATACATATTAAAAGAAGAAAGAAAATCCTTAATGTTGTAGTAGATAAGGCGTAGCAATTTGTTTTTAAAACTGCATTTGAATTTTGGTTGCCTAAGCTATCTCCCTCGGTTTGATAGGGAATTTATTATAAATTTTTAGCCAAAACAAAAGAGCTATTTTATATAAGAGACGGTCATTTGTAGATATTTTGATGTTAAGATTCGGTCCCAAGTTGTACTGAATGTCTGAGTTTCTTGAGAGCTTATAAAGATTAAGAGTTACTTTTTACGTAAGTTGCACAATTTCGTATAGTACAAGAAACCTCCATATGACAGCAGTAAAGAGAAAGTTTTTCGAGAATGATCCGCCTGTTTGAACTAGTAGAGTCTCGAGTTCTACATAAACTCCGAGGAATTTTGCATTTTTCTGTTGGATGGTGCTTTTATTGAAACGTACTAATACTAATATATGAAATGTATTGCCGCAAAAAGTTTTATTTCTTGTATTTATCTACGGCAGAGAAGATTGACTAAAAAATGCGTTTCCTAATTCTGTCGGAATTAATTTTAAAGTAAATCATTAATCAGTCTACTTTACGGCTGTTTTTAGTAATCGCGTGCTTAAACTACACCTGAGGTGCAGTGTGGGAAGGGAACAAAAAAAAACTTACAGGATTTGCGTCACATTTTATTTGCAGCGTATATTTGGATATAAATTGCAATGAGCTGCGCAGATACTCGACCATTGGACACATTAAACCGGAAATTTCGAAACGGGACCTAAATTTATATAACATTAAATGCGCTTAAATACTGTTAAAAATCGAAAAGTGCTCAAAAATGGGTATATTCGGCGTTTTAACAAAAAAAATTGGCACTGGACATTCGTTTTAACAATTTCCCTGGCGCCCTAGTTTCAACAAACATACATATATAATCAAAAAACGATACAGATCTGACCTTTGTACGTGCGGTCCTAACCTCTCGCTCAATCTCGATGGTTCCGAAAAACGCTGATACGTAAAAATATAAAAATAAAAGCTAAAAAATGGCACTGGATATAAAAAAATATTCAATTTTCTTCCTCTTCTATAAAAATCTTACAGAACTATACAGAAACATTTATAAATATTTCTAAAAGATAAAAACAATTAAGACTCATATGGGGCTACCCCGTCTCGATTACGAGTCGAACCTCACGTCGCCCTCTATTCGGATCACGCTCACCGGGAAGTAGCCGACCTGCGTGACAATCCCAAATCAATAACCTCCCACGTCCCCCGAAATGCCCCCTCACCTCGTCGTCCTCCGTCCTGCCTTTCCACCAGCCGTCCCGGTATCCCTCCTTGCCGATCACCCTGACCACTTGGCCCTCCCTCAGTGACAACTGGCACGCGTCCTGCGCGTCAAAATTCCTCACCGCCACCGCCCTGTGCTGCCTTATCGGCCACAGTAGTTTCGTGTTCTCTTCCAACCGAGCGAAGTTCTCCTTCAGGCTGTAATTCTGGTAATTGAGCACCAGTTCCTCGATGCTGCTGAAAAACTTTGACTGCGATAGGAAGTACTTTTTCGACTCGGTGGGCGGGTCGTTCTGGCAACAAATCCGCATATGTTTCACTGTGTCGTCGGTCCTGAAAATTTCGAGGCCGTAGGTCGCGCGACCCCGCCCCCTCTCGTTCCGACTACTCACTTCAGCGTCAACGCGTACTTGTCGCTGCTCATCCTCGGACTGATCCTCACCAAGAAGGTGCCGTTTTCGCGCCTCTCGAGCCTTTCCTGTGCCGTGTTGCGGTCCATTTCGCCCACGTACCACAGCTTATTGCTCAATGGGTCACCGAGCGTCAACCCATTTGCGTTACCGTGGAATTTGGCGAGGGAAACGCCGCACTTGCCCGAATACTGGATGCACTGCTTGTGGACGGCAATGTTGCACGAGTTGCACTTGTAGCCCTGATAGATGAGCCCTTTCAGATACTTGGAGCAGTGCAGGCACTGCACCGGGTTCAGGAACGTGTTCATGTCGAAGTTGTGGTTGGTGCGGGTTAACGACTTCGGGTGGATGTTGTCCCTGAAACCGCGAGCCATTTAAATGCGAGGGGGCGGGGCGTCGCGGCGAGCTCTTACAGCGCGTCGTTGACGGCCTTGATTATTTGCTGCTTGAGCTCCAACGACCGCACGAAGATCGTGTAGACCATACGGTGGTCGTTTTTGACCAGCAGGAAATGGTAGGACCATCGCGCGTCCTTGTTCAGGATCGCCCTGTTATGGATCTCGTCCACGTGGTAGTCCGCGATATTTAAAATGTCGCGAAACGCGAACTGGTTGCTCTGAAACGACCGCGGCTCAACGGATACAGGCGCGGTACGTTTGAACTACTCACCCTGAGCTGCTTGCATATGAGGATGCACTTGTCGAAGACGAATACGTAACGGTTCCTGGTCTTCTGATCATCGTGGGCCTTGATCTTGAGTTCCGCGTCCTTGATCAGTTTTCCGTAGTCGGAAAGCTTGAGGTCGGCGTCGTGCTGCCACTCGACGATCGTCTCCTGCAGGTTGTTGATGACGTTGAGGTGTTCGCTGTCGCGTGCCGCCTCGTTGATGTAACCCGCTACGTCCAGCATTGCTTCCCGGGCTCTCCGAAGATCGTTGTATTCATCGTGGTTCTGAAAACGCACACTCGCCGCAGTGCCCGCCTGTACGGGCGGAGCGTAAGCTTACCACGTCGGTATTCTCTATGAGTTTTTCCAAGAGGAGGTGGTATTTGAGGATCCGTTGCATCGGCACGGACAGCACATCGCGCAGTTTGAAACGGCCGTTGTTCACTTCTTTTTCGTATTTCTGTAAAAAAAAATGCTCACCCTATATGGGTAAAAAAAAATCCGATCGCTTACGATAACCGCTTGGTTGAACGGTTCGTCCGTGTCGCACAATTCCTGCAGCACGGTGGTCGCTTTAGTCAAGTTGGCGCAGTAACTACCATACACCAGGAACTTCTCCCTCCACCTCATGAAAATACCGCTCAATCGCTGATTGGGGTCAGATTTGACCTTCAGCAGTTCGTTGTAAAACGTGGCGTGAATGTCATGCAGTTCCTGCAAACGCGTTCGGTTATGACACTCATGACATACTAAGCCCACCGTTCTTAGACCTTGATTTTGTGAAAAACGCAGCTGTGGTCCTCCGCCTTGATCAGGTTCAGCAGCGGGATCATGAAATTCTTCTTTAACTTATGTAAAACGTCCACGTAGTTCTTTTCCGTGTCGACCAGCTCTTTTATCACAAAGTCCCGCTTTTCGAAAGTCGGCGGCTGCTGCAATGTCGTTTTACATTGGCAACAACGCATGGCGGCTCGCGGGAAATACACCATTTAACCCCTTATAAAGTGGCAACAGCGCAATCCCTGTTGCCAGACTAGGGCATGGCTTCTGTATTTCCACGCGTTTCTCAGAAATTAATTTCTTTTTATTTTACACAGACTTTAAATTTTCAGGATTCTTTGAAAAATACACAGGGTATGAAAAAAAAGCTGCACCCTGCATATAGGGACAACCAGCAAAGGAATCAAAATAACAACTAAAAGAAAATACCTCAATGGAACTGTGCACCACACACAAGTCCTGGTAGATTTCCTCGCGAGTCATATCATATTCGGGGTCTACAATACTTCTGGTGTGACTAGGTTCACTACTCGAGAAAAAAAAATTAAATAAATCAAAAAATAAGAGGCCGTGCAAAATCCGCAAAAACAAACACTTTTGCGATTTATACAAAACATAAAGAAAAACAGTCTGCTGTAAGCTTGGTGTCTCTACCTCTGGCAAAGTGGACGAAAAGGTGACATAACATAAATCATCATATATCTCATTTTCTTTGTCATCCAGCTGAGGGCAGGGTATGGTAAACTGCATCCAGCTAGGCTCAATGCTATTAAAACTGGGGCTAGACCTTAAATCTCTGACGAATTCGTGGTATAAAATGTTAAGGTTAAGAAAATAGGAGGATAAAATACTTACACTGATTTTAAACTTTGATATATGACCTCTTCTTCTCTGCTTTTCAATTTCTGGGCAGTAAAAGCACTGAAACAAACAAACACTAAGAATACACCGCACATAGCAAACAGCCTGTGTTACCTAACATCATATTTGATTTTCCTACCCATAATGTAATTACTAACTCAACAGCAGCCCTACATATGTTGCGCAGTATAATTTTTTATTGCAAGAGTAATTGTAAGATGCTACTGCCACGCTCTAATTACTTATGTAAATCAAAATACATCTAAAATATGTGGTAGGTCAAAAAAATAATTAATGATAATTATGAAATGGTCCAGTAAACTAATGAAAGTGTTTAAATTTTTTTCTAAGCAACAGTTGCAGTTTAACCATAAAATTATATATTACTCACTCGGCAATAACTTTTATTACCAACCATTAACGGTATCCATAAACAAAAGCAGAGAACAAGATTTCTACTTACGGAACGCCACCCCTGAGAGATTTGGAACTTGAAGATAACTTAGAGAGCGTACAAAGCACCTGATGGAAGTTTGTCAGATCAAACAGCATTGTATCCTCGAACAAATCAGTCTGTTTCAGACCGAAATTCTCAAAACATGTCTTCAAAAACAAATTTATATTGCGCAGACACAAAAACTAAAAGGAGATCAATTCATTTCCAAATTTGCCTGCAGTTCTAGAATATACTTGTGCCATGGTCGGCTTGAGATTAACGTCTTTCATATCGATGCACCCTGGGTCGATTTTGTTGAGCAATTTGCAAAGAAGCACCCCGTCTCTCAATATGTTTGCTAGGTCGGCTATACCACTTTCTGGCCAGTTTGCTTTGTGGTCAGGGCGAAGCATGTCCCATTTCGTAAGCCACGAAGCGCACTCACGCCACAATTCGTCGTTTGGTTCCAATTCGGAGGAAAATGAGGCCATTTTTGAGATATTTTACGTGTGCCTCCCTATAAACATCGCTACAATGAAATTACGCACTGGAAAGGCGAATTACGTTGTATTGCTATAAATAAAGAGCATCGTGGTTCATTCTATTCGATTTCATCTTTATCTAATAGATGATTACATTTAATTCATTTTGCGGTTGAATGAAATTGTAATAATTGAAATTATACAAATGTCATAATATGCAGCCGTCAAAAATCAAGCCGCGTTCGAACGCTTTAGGTTAGTTTCTACTTTTCGAGATTAACGCATTGCGTTTTCTCTTAAAAATTTAGAAATATATTGAAAAATCAAGTTTTATGAAGTCGCAAGTAAATATTTTAAAATTAATGTATGTAATTTCGAACGCAGCCTCGTACCTGCCAAAACCGTCTGACCGAACAAAAACGGCACTGTCATACGGGAACAAAAACTTACAAATGGTTGACGCAATGGCTGCAAGCAGTGGCGGAGTAGATTGGTCCCTCGTTTTAAAACCCTTTCTTTCGCTGAATTACGAGAGTTCCAACACCACAGAGCTGATAGAGCTGTGTTCTACGATAGTGAAAAGGTACAGCACCGATTCATTTGTCGATTAATTTGCACGGGTTTAAATAGGCTCCAATCTTTTCCCCTATAAAAAAATCCCATTGAATTTTTACTGTTCGCAGCGAGTCAGAGATTTGGAGGCACAAGGAGAGCCATAAGAATTTTTATAACACGTTCGCGGTGTTAGCTGCGGATTATATCAGCAGCAGCACTTCAAAGTGTAAGTTTTTTTTTTTTTTTGGTCAGTAAATCTTGGCTTTAACCCACTAGCTTAGATTGGGTCAATAATGCAGGGGTCTTGCCAATTGCGGCGCTAACCTAAATTCAAAATAAAATTGTCTTATGGAAAAGCGAATCATCAAATAAAGAATTTTTAATTTTGATTTGGTCTTTACTTCCAGTGTCTGGTAGTCAACTGGAAACAGCTAGTGCCGCTTGTCGCGTGTTGCTAAAATATTTATTAAATGCTCTTCAAAGTGCGAGTAGTGAACAGTACCAGGACAGTGCCGCGATAGAACGTTATCTAAATGCGATTCGCGTCTTATGTATCGGTACTGGTTTGCTTTCTACTAAAGAAGTTTCCAGCTTAGTGGACACCATGAAAGGGGAGAACCCTCCGCAGCAGGCCAACGCCGGTTCAACGGGTAAGTATAGCTTTTCCGTTCAATAACGCACATCCTAAAAAATGTCTGCATCCTAAGGCAACGAAAAAGACGCTACCAGCAAGCAAGAGAGTTCAAAGAACCGACCCGACCTGAATGTCATCATATTTGAGAGGCTCACCTTGCCCATACGCGAGGGTCCGTTCGCCAGTCAAGAGCCGTCGACGAGTCCCCAGACAGGCCTGCCGCCAATATCTTTGGACAGTGATCCAAGCGCTGAAATAAATGTATGTTAAATAAAGTCATAACATGTATCTCCAATTAAAACTGGTTCTCTAAACTGTTAGTTATTGATGTAACCAAGCATATTTAGTTTTTCTGGTCTGCACATTCTTTATAATTATTTCTTTGTAGCGATTGTTTCTCAGAGCAAACACGGAGAGTCTACAGTCGCTACGAGCGGGCGACACTCTCATTGATCTGTGCCTGAACCTACCGGCAATAAAAAAATCGAAAATCAAAGTGGAAGAGGCCCTGGCTGGCAGATCTTTCAGTATACCGTCGACGCACTCGGAAGCTCTAGCCCATCGCAATGCGTACGACCTGATACCTATATTGGGGTCTTTGCTTCACGTAACTTCAATATTTATTGCAGCCTTTCGCAAACCGTGTCCGAAATCGCGCTGGCGATGTCGGCACTTAACTTACCCGTCCTCGAACCACTCAGCTCGTCGAAACTAGACAAACTGTGCAGCCTGGCGATGGCCGCGCTGCACTGTGCAGTCGCACAGGCTGCCTCCAGCGCGTGTTTGTCCGGCACATTCGCCGTGTCACCTAAATCGACCGGCCAACCGCCCCAAACGGCCAATTTTAAAGAAGAAGACCTCGACGCGAATTCCGTCAAGTTGGTGGAAGAATCTCTGAACATGTACACGTACGTGGGCGGCATCGTCAAGGGTTCGACCCGTGCCGGTGGCCACGTATACCAAAACTACCTGTTAGCGGGGGCGTGGGTGCTCGTCACGGGTCTTCAGACCCACCTGACGCAAATAACTACCGCCACCACGTCAGAGAAGGCGTCCCATTCGGCGAGGGAACATCGCGAGTCGACCGACAAAGGGCGCAGCCCTAGCAAGCAGCAGACGCGCGAATCGAGCGCTTCCGGAACTTCGGGGGCCCGCTCGGGGCTCCAGAAATTCCAGCAAAGTTTCGGCGTTCTGTCGGTGGCTCTCGCTTCTAAGGCACTCACACTGCTCTCGGAATTGTTCGACGATCTAGCCCTAGAGGTCTGCGGGGGCGCCGCGGGCAGCATAGTGCAGGTTAATTTACAAAAAATAAAAAAATTAGGCGCGCTTCCGTGATTTTTGGCAATGGTTTATTTGAACTACTCTACAGACGTCCGAACTACAAGATAGTGCATGTTTCCATGTAAATAGAAAATAATTTCCAAGAGGGGCAATGAATCATTGGCGTACAAAATTATAATGTAGCAATTTTAAAAGTTTCCTCCTTATAGAGTTGAGACACACAAATTTGAGACACTTTTAGTAATAATGCAAACCACGTCTGATGCGTTTGAGTGTTCTTTGGAAAACCACAATAGATAATACGCACAAATACACCAATCAAAAAATAAAGTACACCCGCCTATGAAACACTCCTTTGATTTGTTTACAAACATGAAATTACACTTTAGAATTCAAACGGACTAGTTCATTGCAAACTTCACAGTATTGCAGCATTTTTTAACCACAATATTCAAAAATACCTTTTCATTTTCAAAAATTCACGTCTCTCACAAATAATAAGCAAAAGCACACGTAGTAGCGATGCATGTGAGTTCGATGTTGAAAACATGCGTAATTAACGAAATTGATAAACATTTTGCTATTGTACAATAGGGCGGTGATGTCCAGCACAGGCAACAGCAACATTAAAATGAAAACAATGCTCACCCTCCTTTATATACCTACGGACTTGACCCTCCATCCATTTTTTCATGGCCAATTTAAACTACTCTTATTTGGATTAAACTGCTCCCATCCAGTATAAAAAAGTTGGATCAAAAATCCCTATTTTCTATCTCTACAGATAATTTTGTTGTATTTGAGAAAAAATTAATCCTGCTTAACTTTGACGAGTAGTTTTGCTCTGATTGAATTAAAATACTCTCCTTGTCGCTGTGTCACATTAAATTACTCGTTAGTTTAGTATTTCACCATCACGGAGGTCACCAGTTAAAAAAAAAATCTTAAACAATTAAAAATACCGATTTCCCTTTATAGTCTGCTGTTATTTAAAATTTGATTTATGTAGCGAACTATTTGCTTTATCACCAAAACCTCACAGTATTTTAAGAATTTCTCTTTTGTAAGATTAAAAAACACAGTTTTTTATTCATTTTTAAAGTAGCACTATTGTCTAAACCTTGATCGAAGTTACTAAATTAAAAATTGCTTACTTTTGCTGTTAACAATCAAATTGTAAAAATATGAACAATTAGTTGATCAGCTAATGGTTTGGTCACTAATGTTTACCCAATAGTTGTTGCCTAAGTATATTTCTGCTTTGGTTCATTTGAACTACTTTGTGATTCCCGAAATATACCCGAACATAATTCTCCCGCAGGTCGAGCCGGCCCCGCTGGCGATAATGGGCCAGTTTACGGCCCTCCAAAGGGTAGCTAGGGTGCTGAGCGCCGCCCCTCTCAACCATTTACTGTTCTATCTGGCGATCGTCAGTTATAGGAAAGCGTGCTCCTTGAAACGTCTTATACCCACCGAAGGCGAGTTTAGTCATTCCGATTCGACCGCCTATTACGACGACATGATAATGGGCAGCGAGGAGGAATCCACAGACGAAGGTGGAGCCCCTAAATGCCTTGGGATTCGTTTTAAACCATCGCATTTCAGACGACGACAGCGAACCTATACTGGGGCAGTGGTTTGAGGAAACGTTGGCACCACCGGAACCAGTTGAATCCAAAACGCCATCCACGTCGGAGAACTTGGAGTCGAAATCGAATAACCAGTCGAATCGGGGCCCCTCTATTGTACCGGAGAAGGGGGAGGTCGACAGTTACATATCCCTGTCGACAAGCATTTTTCACTTTTTAAACAAGCACTTTTTGTGCTCCAAAAGCACACTCGTCGCGCGGTACGTTAAAAACGGCCTCACGGAACAACAGATGATCATACTGGCGGCCCTCATCAGGGATTTGGACCGGGAATGGGCTCGATCGGACTTCGGTAGGTGCCTTTTCTATGGTGTTCAATATAGTCTTGACTAGGATCCTCTGCCAGGCAACCAGTACGGCGAGTTCTCGAACGCGCTGATGAAATTCACCCACAATTTGATAACCAGCAACAATTTAACGCCCCTACAAGCGTGCTTGTTAAATCATCTGGGCGTTTCCCCGTGGAACACCGACGTACCGCACGCGTGGCCCCTTCAGGTGTACCCCAGAACCCTCACCGTCCTCGCTCAGGTATTTAGATGGTGTTACTTCGCGGGTCTTGATGTAGTTTCCGCTTTTCTCTTTCTCTTAGGTGCTCTTGCTAAGGCCGCAGAACGAGAAGGAGGCCTCCGTTATAAGCATTTGGCATCGCTTGGTCAACACGTTAATCGAGAATGTTCTTAATTCACCTCAAACCGTTACGGAATTTGAAGCCGAAGGTAAAATGAGGGAATTGACCTCACACTTAACAGCCTCGGTATTAAACTAATATTATGCTGGTAGTATAGTTTTTTTGCATATGAACTACTGGTAAGCGCGTATATTTTGTAGTACTTGTTACAGTCTAAACAGGAAGGGCAACTGCAAAGCTTACAATGCAAAAAGACTGTTAGTGGTGTAGATTATTGTTTATATAAATGGGAGAACGGGGTTTTCTCGTAGTTTTTATTACTTTATTTACGGATATATTCATATCTTACGGAAATTATTTAGGTCATTAAACAATGTTTTCATTAAATATTTCTATAAAGTAAATTTTAAAATCTAACGTTGAACAAAATTTATTTGTCAGGAAATAACTGGTATGAATTTTTTGCAAAATTAGCGCGGAACTAAATCATACCAGACGACTTTTGATAGTTCTCCGTTTCCTGCTCGGTAATTTCCGACAATTTCAGGAAATTTTAAGGAAAGATAAAAAAAAAATCGGTATTTACAATTTAGAATTTCTGGGTCACTACCTCCCATTTGGGGTAATATACTCGTAATCCCGATTTTCCGACCTCTAGTTCCATCTATTTTGCAACACTCAAACAAGTATCCGTTTCCCGTTGTTCACCAATTGTTTCTTACATATCCGGTCCGAAGAACAAAAATGATAAATACTTCCGAAACGCATTCACTTAAATTAAACCCGGAGCGAACGCCGTTCGCTTATTGGAGCAATGTTGGCGTTGTTGGTTCAAATTAACAAACTTCATACAAATGATAAAATCAAATTAACAATTTTAGTCATTACTCCGAAATACAGTCGAACTGCGATTTGACACATGAAAATGTCGAATTATCAAGACTTCGAGTTATCAATAAAAACTACAAATGCATGTACTTTTTTGTGAATGAACATTTATTTATTCATTCATTTTTAAAAATGGGTTATACGTTACATAAATGCCCTAATATCTGTGGTTTTTGAACTAAAAACAAAAATGATGAAATAGTAGTACATATGTTTGTATGTATTTACATAATATATGTATATACAAATGTATTGTATATGTACCCAGTGTATATAAACATAGTATGTATGCCCATATACATACATATGTATGTACATATTAAAGTTCACTCTTTCAATGGAAAAAAATCAGTTATTTGTGACTGACGACCGGATTTCTTATTTTGGTTTTCAACAAAAGCTTCAATTTTATTTAAACAATCATAGAGGGAATCGGTTGTGTATTCACTGGTTTTCAAATAGGAACGCAAGACAATCAACGAATTTTCAACCAATTCATTTGAAGGTGATCATCTTCAATGTTTAACTGTACCCGTTCGGATCTGCAGGACTCGATAATATCTTCATCAGAAGGAAACTCTGAAGTAACAATATCCTCATCCACATGTATAAAATGGTTGATGGTACTACCTTCTGCTATACCTCTAATGTTTGTCCAAGCGTTAAACTCGATTTCTATTTGGATTTCGTCTTCACTCTTTTCTTTCAGGCGTTCACTTAGGAAAATCAAGGGAATATCATCTTCTTCTTCCCATTCAGAATACTAACCAAAACCGGCTTTTTTAAAACAATTGGGAATTGTTACAGGCTTAACGTCGATATTCTATGCAGTAGTTACGTCATCAACACAATCCATTAGTGTAATGTTATTGTTTTTGTTTTCTTCGAAACGTTCCATTGCGGTGATGACTGAATGTTTATTTTTCAAAATTGTAGACACTGTACTTGCCGAAATCCCATAGTTCACAGCTACATTTTTATTTTCCACTTTCCCACTTCTTTTATAACCTTGAATTTTTGATCAACAGACGAAGCTTTTAAAGTATGTTTTGATGATATATCAACAAATGCAAAAATCCAAGAATGTCTTTAGTAAAATGTGTAAATTGAATAGAAACAGTATTTTTCACTTAGTATTAACTAGTAAGTCATACAAGTGAACTTAGCAAGCACAGAAACTGAACTGCTTGCATAGATACGTTAAAAAGACAGGTTAAGATCCCTGACAAAGGATTTTCCCCTGTACATTTGAACTACCGGTCGTGGTCACCAAACGGCCGTTCATTTTTTTTTTAGACTTAAACGTGGAGCATGCTGAGGTGCTCCTCTACCTCTTCCACTCGCTCAATTTGATGCAGAAAAAGTCCGTAGTGCTCCTCATGGCTGGCGGAGTCTTGCGCTGCTCCGAAATAGCTCGCAGCCCATTGAAAGAGTCGCAACTGCTTAACCTGTCCAGACTTTTGTTGCTCTTCGACTATATCATGAAACATCTGTACGATGTGCCCACGTCCCTCCTGGAGAAGGTATGTGGAGTTCGATTTTCGTGCCGGTCTTGACCTTTTAGGTTCCAGATTCAGCGCAACTTGTTCGATTTGACCAACCTGAACGGCGACGTCAGAGAGAACAACAACTCGTCGGTGTGGAAGGAGGTCGAGGAACCCTACAGAAAGCTCATATCCGAACGAAACGCCACGCCGAAATTTTACAGACTGTCCAACTTGGAGGTGAACAACCAGGACGCGCCCAAACTGGACGGATTGGCCTGCAACTTTATCTTGGGCACTCCCGACAAGCTTCGCTATCCCCTATTGCTGGACGCTCTGATCGAACTACTGAACGTCGTCCACGGTATCACCGCGGGATCGGCGTCCAAAATGTCCGTCCTGGGTCTGTGCGCCACGCAATACTGCTTCAGCATTTGCTGGCGGCTGCTGCAGCTGCTGCCGCCGTCGATACCGTATATGGAACGATTAGCTACCGGCGAATTGCTGGCGCCCGGGCCCCTGCTCGTCCATTCGTTGATTTGGGGCCCCCGCGCCTCCGGCAAGAATTTCACCAGGTGGCTGAAGGACTGTCTCGTCAAGCAGGGCATGTACACGCAAAATACGGACAAGTTACTGAAGGCCGTTTCCGATACTGTAAACAACGTCGAATACGACGCGGTCAACGCGAAGAATTGCATCGTCGCCCTTACCCCGGATGTCGGCAAAGGTAGTGGTTGATTTTAACGTCGTCGCAGCTTTCCACTCGATGATTAGGTGAAATTTTCATTGTTTGATCGATTTAAATCGATCCGTGGTCGCAAAGAAAAGATTCTTTAGCGAAAACCCGCGCGCCCTAGGCAAAAAAGTCGTAAATTCTTTCACGGAAGTGATTTAATTAATAAAATAAATAAAATTTGGTGTTCTATCGGTTGAACTACTCGCCATAAAAAAAAATTGGGGGTCCAAGTAGATCAAACCCTTCCTGAGATTTCCCGTCTTCCTATCGATCTTTTCCCTTGTCAGCAGCGTCGGAAATCCATATCTTTCGCCCCTCATAATGTGACCCAAATAGTGAGTCTTTCTCTATTTTATTGTGTCCAATAACTCGCGAGACTTGCGCATGTAATTTAGAACTTTAATGTGGGCGATTTTTTGTAGGCATAAAATTCGCAATATTCTTCTGTATCATACAAAAGTAGAGCAACATCTTCAAAAATAAGATATATTTAACACAAGTCCCAACATTATGATTATACATGCAAGGTATTGTATACAAATACAATACATTTGAGGACATTAAAGTGGGCTATGATTTATTGATGATCACAAACAAAACAAATGCTTCAGTTGTCCGTTTTAGAAGCCTTCCTATAGATTCTTGTGTGGATAATTCTAAGAAATGTCTTCAGCACGTGGGACATCATTCGATAGTCGTCACATTGAAAAACCGGTTTTTGCTGAATCAACCGCGGTTTTTCCTGTTATATACCGTTTTGCACTTATTTTTCTTGAGCTATAACCTGATTTTTGGTTAGTTTTGGCTTGCCCCGACTATTTGATTTCCTCGGTACCACTGATATCTGAGAGGCATTCCCCTATCCGCCACGTCCGCCAGCTAGCATGTAATATGCTAACTCTCTAGCATATTACATGCTATAACTAGGAGGTTGAGAGATATATAAACTATGAGGAGTTTTTATTATGCAATTGTTCAGACCCCAATTAGATACGCAGTATCTAATTGGCCCCCTTCATTTACCATTCGTGTTTTCATAGAACAAAAGCGCATTATTAGATGATATAAACATTCATACCATAAACAGAGAAAATCTGCGGATTCCAAGCCATATTTCCACAAGGCTATGAAGGTCAACGAGGTACTGCCTATTAATATTCGAAATTAAATGCCTATAATAAATGCTTCAATAGCTTCAATTTCGATTTTTAATGCTTTTGATTTGTAATTTTCATTGGAATGGGAGGTTTGGAGGTCATCTGCGTATCATCTTTTTCAACAATAAAATACACTAAGTAAATAAATAATACGTTAATTTTTGTTTCGATTCATTTGAACTACTCTCCCTCATGAGTACACTTATGCAATAAGGTTATTTTTAGTTATTAATATTATTTATTCGTTTATGAAAAATCCAAATCTAACCTCATTTTTACATATCTTCGTGTCGATTCGTTTAAGGTCTCAATTTTTGAATGTTTAAGGTCTCGTCGCGCAAGACTCGATTCCGCCTCTGTGGCAGCTCATTTTGCTCGACGTGCTCGTCGCGAAAATTGAAATCGAAGTAAGTGATTTTGCCATCGCTGCCATGTTCGCAAAGATTAAACCAACCAAAACGATCGTTCGACAGGTCGCCGCTGAAGAGTCCTCCGACGCCGACTCGTCGTCGGTCGTATCCGTCTCGGAAAAGAGTTGCATCCAGGACCTGGTGCCACACGTGCTGAAGCTCGCCCAGGCGGTGTTGCAGTGCACCAGGTCGTCGATGTTTTATTTGACACTGAACCCGGACGATCCCGAGAAAGTAAGTCTTATGTCGGGCGGTTGAAAAATTGAAAAGCTGTGTTAGCCTTAAAACCTCTAAATTAGTTACCTAGTAAGCGTAGCACCGTGGTTTAAGTCGCCTGAAAACCGTTCAAAATAATTTCAATGAAAGGGTCAGGTAATAGAGGGTCCACCTCAATTGTAATTGTATTTTAGTGTTTTTCGAGAATGGTAATGACAGAGACTTTTAGATTGTGACTTTTTTATATAATACAGTGAACTAAATTGGGACTGAAGTTAATTCACAGTATTTTGGCATTATGGAACCAGCGAGAATACCATACATTGAAGGCGTATTCTGCAAGTCATCTCGAGCGGGTATGATATTAATTATGAATTATTCGGAAAGTTTGCTGCTGACACCGCAAAACTGTTTAATCAGTTGTGTCCATGATATTATATGCCACAAAGTATTAATTAATACATGGAAAAAAAGTAGTAGAAAATGCGCTATTAACAATTGGACACAAGGAAGTATCTTGAAGATTCTTCTCGAAAGTTTTCTCGTGTAAAAACAATGGAAGATGTTTTCAATAGACTTCTTATACCCTTCGATCTTGATATCTCTAGCCTTAGGAAGCTTCCAAAGAAAAAACTGGAACAATTTTCAACCCAGGCCCTAGAAATGCTTATATCGCGCGGTTCTCAAGATTCTCTACCTGACTCAGATGAAGATAATGACTTTCAAATTGATGTCGAGTTGAGTGAGAGTTATTCAGAATAGTAATTGGTTAGTTTTTTTGGTAACAATAAATATATTTAATATATTGAGGGCATTATCTTTATTACAATTATAAGTGAGGTAGCGAGAAGGGTCAAGGTTTAAACTACCTTCCAGAAACTTAAGAAATATTGAATAATCTGTGACAATTCTGAACATAATCCTTATAATTAATCATCCTGCCTCTCCCTATCGGTCATTATTTTTATTATTATTAGTTTAAAAAATTTCAGCCGCCATCTTGTAAATTTTTTTGAGCATGTTAGGGATCAGAGATTTTGTCAATAGAATTTAATTTTTGAGACCACTGTGCGCCGGTTGGCTAGGTACGGGTCAATAACGAATGTTACTGAAACGATCTTAACCGGTTGAAGGTTCCTCCGCGAGACCCCGAATCCGTAAACGACGTTATCGCAATCATGTCCAGCGACAACCCTCTAATCGGCACTTTAGCAAGCGAGATCGAGGCCCTGTTGCCCCCCTCCAACAACGTAGCATTCGCGTTGTCCCTGTGGCGCTGCTCGCGTTTAGAGGATGTGTTTTCGGTGAGTCCGGCACCGCTTTAAAACCGCCCTCTCAACCCTATTTTCATTTAGACTCAGTACGCGAACGACACCATTCCCTCGGAGAGCTACATATTGAAGATAATCGAAGTGCACGTGTCTTCGCTGTCCGCAGGACTCGCGTTCCGCATCGATTTGTCCTTAAAAAAGACCCTGGAGAATCTGGTAAAGTTTATCGTCGCGCACGCGCCCAAAATTGAGAATACCGACACGAAAAATAAAGCGATCGAGATGCTGGTCTCGATCACATGCGACGCTCGCACCGAGTTCCTGTACAATATCGCAACCAAAGCGCTGGACAAGATGATCGGCGATCCGGAGACCGACGAGCGCCAAAAACGCGTCTACATGCGAATTCTCGACCACACTTATAACCTCCTGATGAATTACACGTCGTCGGTCGAGCCGCAGGATCCCCTGGACGAGAAAATATTGCACAGTTGCCTGAAGTTCTACGAAAAAATTATCGAGAAAGCTTCGGGACGTCAAGCGCTCGAGTCTTTCTTCACCGGCGACAAGGATCTGGTCAAAGTGCTCATGTCCGTGTCCAGCCCGAAAATGTCGCAACAGTACAGCACCCGCGTCCTTCACTTCTTCAATAAACTGTTCCAGGCGGCGGAGAAGAGCTCCACCGACCCAAGTTTGAACTATTTGTGCTCCAGTATGGGCAAACTGGCCAAGGTCGAGAGCGGAAAGCTGCAAGCGTGGCTCCGGCAAATCATTATAGGTGCAGGCGATGTCGACGCGCCGTCGCCGAAGCTCAAGAAACAGTCGAGCAACGCGAGCTCGGAGGACAAGGAACTGCCGCTGCCCGCGAGCGAAGATAAAAAGTCGGTCGTGCAGGAAAACAGCCAGCTGCTGCAGGCGTTGACCAGTTTTATCGTCAAGCAGAACAGCAACGTTACCGAGGACGTGTCGACGACCATACTGAAAGCGCTTATACCTTTGGGCGGTCACATCTTAAGCCCCGCCCTCGAGGGCGTCGGCTTCGTCGAACTCATGAACGTAATGACGATGCTGGCTGACGCGAGGTCGGGCAAGGGCCACGCCCACCTTTTCTCGGCTGCCACACAATGGGTGGAGCTTTGCATGAAACACGTCACTGCCCAAGATGTGGCGCAGAAGATCGCGTCGGATCCCGAGTCGATGAAGAACAACCCGATACTCAACAGCGCGTCCTGCATCCTCGATTACATAAGCGACGTGATTCTTTCGATAACGGAGCAGCCGCCGCGATCGGTGAGCCCGCAATGGGAGCACGAGAGTCCGCTTGACCTTGAACTGGAGTGTCAAGAGGAAGTCAACGAGGATGAGGATAGCGGCGAAGACTCGGACGAGGATTCGCTGTGCAACAAGCTGTGCACGTTCACCATCACCCAGAAGGAGTTTATGAATCAGCACTGGTACCATTGCCACACGTGTAAGATGCTCGAAGGCGTGGGGGTGTGTTCGATTTGCGCGAGGGTCTGCCACAAGGGTCACGACTTGAGCTACGCGAAGTACGGCAACTTTTTCTGCGACTGCGGCGCCAAAGCGGACGGCACATGTCAGGCTTTGGTTAAGCGAAGTCCCCAAGCCGACGGAGGCGGCAAAACGCAGAAAGACGATCCCGGTATCGAAGACCGCGCCATCGGCGCCACGCTGAGGCGGCGCAACAGTTCACCGATCTCGAACGACAGGGTGTTGTTCGACGAGAAACGCGGCGAGCATCAAAAGAAGAAACTGGAAGAGTCCAAAGCGTTCCTGCTGTCGTTTCTCAGCTCCAGTAGCGTAACCGCGAGCCTGCTCGAGTTTCTGCAGGGCCTGATCCCGGCCATAGAAGCCACCTGCAACGTGAACAGTCCCGTCGGTTGTCACGCGAGGGGCGTTAAAGCTCTGGAACAGTTGTACGGCGCCGAGAAGAAGTACGAGCACACCGACCAACTGATGGTACCCACTTTGGGCTCGCAAGAGGGCGCCTTCGAAAACGTGCGGATGTCTTACGCGGGCGATCAGGGGCAGACGATCAGGCAACTGTTGTCCGCCCACATTATCCGCCGGGTAGCTATGTGTTGTATGACGTCCACCCAAGGCAAGAGGCAGCATTTAGCCGTTTCCCACGAGAAAGGCAAGATCACCGTCCTCCAATTGTCCGCTCTCTTGAAGCAGGCCGATTCCGCAACGCGTAAACTCACCTTGACGCGTCTGAGCAGTTCGCCGATACCGTTCACGGTGCTCTCTATGACGAGCAACCTCTGCAACGAGGACTTCCTGGCCGTGTGCGGCCTGAAGGATTGCCACGTGCTGACGTTCAACAGCAACGGCCAGGTCACCGACCATTTGGTGCTCCACCCGCAGCTAGAAACGGGCAATTTCATCATCAAGGCGCTGTGGTTGCCCGGCTCGCAGAACACGCTCGCCCTGGTCACCGCCGATTTCGTGAAAATCTTCGACCTTAGCCGCGACGCCACCAATCCGCAGTATCATTTCCTGGTAGGATTCAATGGCACGTTTGCCAACGTCGCACTAATCGAATTCAATTATAGGTGCCTAGCGGAAAGATCAGGGACTGCACATTCATGTACGACGACGGCACGTACCACATTATGCTGATGTCTTCGCCGGGCCACATATACACGGAAGTGTTGAACGATGACAGTTCTACGAAATACGGCAGCTTTTATGTCACGAATACCCTCGAGGTAGGGCCCCACTCCCAAGACAATAACTTTCTTTGCCTCCTGACGCTTTTCTATAGGTATTCCACCTGGACGTGACCGACGTTAACGGGCAAGTGGCCGGCGGTGGCGTCTCCATCTACTACTCCCACACCCTGATGCTACTGTTCTACAGTTACGCGCAGGGTAAAAGCTTCATTTCACCGATAGTGCCGAAAAGTAGTTCCCTGTCGTTGGTGTTCCCGATCACGCTGCCCCAGACCCCGAACGGGAGCGGTTCGAAGAGCAACAGCTCGCGGACACCCGCGCCGCAACCCTTATGCCAATGGACGGAGATACCGAACCACCCGGGGCTGATATGCTGCGCGATGCAGTCGAGCAATCAGCCGGTCGTGATCATGCTCAAGCCCGACACCGTGTTGATACAGGAGATCAAGGTGGTACCGGCGAAGAGCAAAATAATGGATATGGTCGCTATAAGGCACAGTTCCGGTAACGATCTGCGCACCACGCTGATATTGCTGTGCGAGGACGGCAGCCTCAAGATGTTCATCGCGAACATGGAACAGACCGGTTTTTGGATGTCGTCGAATATTCAGGCGACCGTTCCAGTCGGCTCCGCCCACAAGCCGAAAAAGAAGAAGGTCGTCAAGTCGGGCAAGGCGTCCGCCGCTCCCGTGTTCCCCGTGGACTTTTTCGAGCACTGTACCGCGATGAACGACGTCGAGTTCGGCGGCAACGATCTGCTTCAGATTTACAACGCCGCCCAGCTGAAGCACCGCCTGAACACCACCGGACTCTACGTGGTGTGCAACAAGGCCCAATTCCAGATCGACGTGACGAACAACGACTCGAACATGGTCATGTGCGGCATCCGCGTTTTGGTTGGCACGCAGGACCCGCAAAAGGCGCCGTCCTACGTCGAGGTGGGCGGTAGTTCAAATGTACCCGCTAAGGATTGCTCTCGACTGTATTTCGAAAAGTATTAGGCGTAGCGCTCGTGAGAAAAAATTATTACCAAATACCAAAATTGTTGGAAATTATTTTAAAGTTCCTATAAAGGGCGCGCATCTTCCGTAGTTAATAAGGAAACGGGATTTTACAAAATATTGAACATATTGAAGTGGAAACTGACGTCTCGTAACTGCGATTTTAATTTGGCAAATTGGACGGACATTTTTTTTTTTTTGAGATATGATAATACAGTTAAATAAGAACAAAGGTTGTTCAGATTTTCACATAAATTTATTTAAATGACAGCTGTTTCGGCAACACCGTGCCTTTATCAAAAAAAAAAAAATCTGTTGCCAAGTCAGCTGTCATTTAAATACATTTATGTGAAAATCTGAACAACGTTTGTTATGATTTAACTATTTTAAATGGATTTTCATCAAGTAAAAGCCACTTCTGTACAAATGATAATACCTTTATTGCCAATCAAATCCTGTAAATATAACAAAGCAACGTTAAAAAATAATCGTATTTATAAAATATAAATTGCGATAATATGAAAATTACTGTGAAGATATGTAACTATAAATTTTGAATATGGAGATAAATCCGAATTATTCCAAGCGGAAACTGACGTCTCGCTACTTTGCGATTTTGATTCGGCAAATTGGACGGACTTTTTTTTTAATGATAATAATAATAATACCCTAATTGCTAACCAAATCCTATAAACATAACAAAGCAACGTTAAGAAATAATGATCTACCGTATTCATAAAATATAAAACAGAATAAAATAAAAATTACTCAACCACAAAATTACACTGTGAAGATATATAACCACAGGTTTAATTCTTCGGTAGGAGGCGCTTCATGTCAAAAACAGCTGTTTTTATGATTTTCTCGAGAATTTTAAATATAATTGTAGAAAGATTTTTAGTTAGGATGAAAGAGCGTAAAAAAACACAGCAAGTAGCGGTAATGGCATGGCAATATCTTTTTTCCCCTTTGAAATATAAATAAAAATGTGTTTATTATACATATTTCTCAACGGTAGCATAGAAATAGTACCAGACGCGACAGACGTGACATGGGATGCTTATATTTTCTACTAGTGTCAAATTTGATTTTGTCCTAATTTGTCCATAATAATCGAAAATAATCAGTAATAGTTAAAATATGAATCGTCAGTATAATTTATTAATATATTACTATTTGGGTTTTGTTTGAATTAAAATAAGTTTATACAGTTCATGGCGTTAGAAATCATAAACCAGGGCGGACTTCAATTGTTATGGAACCCAGCCCAGACATCAATTTAGTATCGAATCTTTATTAAAAATTATCGTCCCGTCATAATATGTCATCTCTTGGTTATCTCTAATACTGCTTCTATTATTCCTAATTTAAATTAATTTTTATTTATATCTCAAAGGGAAAAATAGATATTGCCACTACTTGTTCTTTTACGCTCATCCTATCGAAAAATATTTATATATATATTTATTTAAAATTTTCAACTCGCAAAAGAATTAATATCGTGATATTGACATGCCCGTCGAAGCTGCTATAAATATTCTTTAAAACTAAACTAAGTTCGTCGAAATCGGATTAGCCAAAAAAAGTCATTAAACTTTTTCTAAACCAATATTTGACCCTTCCCCCACCCTTAATTTGACGAGATAGAAAAAATAGTTCGAACAAAAAAGTTTCCTTATCTAGAGTATTTTGATATAAGTTAATTTGGATTATTTTTAAGAAAATCTTTTTTTTTTTTTTCTATTTTATTTCTATTTTGCAGTAGAGGTAACGCCCCCAAGCGACCATTTTATTAACTTGAAAGTTGTAGGACCAACGGTTCCTAAGATATGGCCGGCGTCCTTTATTAATTGTCCATTGTAATGAAATATCTGGAAATATAGATTTGTTGAATCGGTCTATAAAGAATCATCTTTATCTCCATTTAAAATAGTATAATTATTAAAGGTTGAGGTATAGTTAGGAGTTGCGCATAATGTCAGTATAGATCAGGAAAATCCCTTCGTTAAGTAATACCGCTTCCACGCTCAGGTATTCGGACGGGTAATATCGTTTAACGTGACGAGGAGCCGATGGTACGACGTCCCATTCTCACGCGAGGAAAGTTTGAGAGCCGACAAAAAATTGACGATCGTGTTCGGTCCGTGCCAAGACCCCGAGCTCATGACGATGGTGGACAGCGTAAAAGTGTACGGCAAAACGAAAGACGCGTTCGGCTGGCCGGAGGACAACGAGGACGTCACCGGCGGCTCGGCGAACACGTCGGCCAGCAATCCGCCCAGCACCGGAACCAGCGAGATCGATCAACAGCCCGGCAGTCCGCAACAGCTCACCAAACTCGAACGTCTAACGATGGACGTGTTCAAGAGTTTAGACTCGGCGCTGTATCTTTACGCATGCGAGGAGCGCTTTTCCAAACTCAAACCCACCGCGCTGAAGTTGGCAACGCGTCTACTGACGTTACCCACACCTCCCTCCATTCAGGTGCACTCCAAGGCGTTAATGTTGACGCTGCACCCCACCAAACAGCAGTACCACGCCTACAAGGACCAGGCGTTGTTGGAACACGTGCTGGCGGATTTAACCTCTATGACCGACCGTAAGAGCGCGAGCCCCGCCTTCTCGCGAAAGGGTTTTATTTGTGACGTCCGCAGGGACGGACGCCGTGGACCTCGATGCCGAAAGCTACTATCGCCTGGTGCTGATAGTGCGCGGTATCGCGGTCTCCAGACCGCAGAACCTAGTAAAATTCGCCGACGGCTGCGCCTCCATTCAGGATATCGTCGTCGACGACCCGTTGGAAGCAAGCAAAGACATCGCTACAAAGAGTAAGCATCTACTGCTGCAGCTCGTCGAGGTGCTGTGGCTGCTGCACAAACTGAATCCCGAGATCGCCTGTCTCGCGCCCGTGGTCGTACCCGGTTTAAAGTGAGCGGTACCGGTACCGTCCAGGAACCCGCGTCTTTGAATAATGCTCTGTTCCAGGTACACCGAACAGGTGATCCACGCTCTGGTGGAGATCATCCACGCGTTCAACTCGTCCGAAGCGTACGCGAACGTCACCATAGGTCTTTACTTGCAGCTGCTGCTGTGCAGCGACCCCGTGATCGCGTTCAGCGCGAAACAGGCATTGTGCAAGGTCAGTCGCTCGTCCATATTGACGCGCGCGCGCACTTTCCACGAACCCCGCCTTCTTTAGGTCCTCAAACCGAGGGTGAAACGGCGCAGGGTGTATATCCCGTCGCCGGTGCGATCCGAGAGCCCCGTGAAACCGACCAAGCCGTCGACGGCACATCAGGTCATCGATCCTCCCGCGCGCGAAATCGTCAGACCGCAGCCCGTCGTGCCGATGGCGTTCGACGTAGACGTGGCGGAAGCGATAAGCTTGCTCGAACAACCGCAGGACAATCACAACGTGAATCCGTTGGAGGCGTTGCTCGGGGGCGGCGGCGGCGTAGGGTACCCGCCTCTCCTGGACATTCCGCCCGACGCCGACGACGAAACCATCGTCGAGCTGGCCATAGCCCTGAGCCTGCAAGACCAGGAGATGGGTAACGATCAAAATCAGCAGCTGCAGCTGCAGCAGCTTGAAGCGGAGCTGAGGGTCGCCGGGCAGGCGGCTGCGCAGGCACAGCAGGAAGCCGCGAATTTCAGCGACACCACCGCCTCAGCCGCCGGATCGGATGACGAAGGTGGGGAATCTAGTTCTGCGGAGGAGCGTAGGGTCAGTCTTCGAGATTTCAGGGTCCACCGCGGCGACGGACGGTTCCACGCTGCGGACTTCCCCCGCGGAGCAGGGCGGCAGCGCAGGATCCGAAAGCGGAGGCAGCGGCGTGGACAGCATCACCGGCGAGCACAACGTGTCCGGCCGGTCTTCGGCCTACGGGGATGACGCCACGGTCCGCGCCAACGAAACGCCCGCGGGGACATCGTCCGCCGCCGTGCAGGAGTCCGCTTGTCGACCGGCGCAGGAGCGGGAAGCCGACGCTGTTCGGCAGGCCGACGAGCAGGAATCGGACGGCGAGAACAGCCCCAAATTGCAAGCGTTGCGGCTGCAGCTGCTCGAGAAGCTGATCGAGTACCTGCCGAAGTTAAAGAAGGCCGAAGGCGTCCGAACGGTGCCATTTTTCCAGGTCGGTTTTTTTTAAGGAATGGAAAAAAAAAATGTTTTAAAAAGGAATAAAAGGCTGAGGGAGCGTAACAGAAATAAGTCCTGCGATAATGAATCTGTTCTTTCGGCAAAATATCTTAATTTATTTTTGTAAAGTGGAAGTGATTAAAAAATTGCCTGCAATTAGGGACACGTCTCTTTCAGCGATGTCATCTCCGACTTTCCCTGGTTCCGTTTATATGAACACCGTTGGCTAGACGGAAGTATATAGTGACATTTTTGATATAAATTTTCAAAATCTTTTCAAGTACTATGGACCTGTTGATGACTCGGTTTGCTTCATGGATTAATAAGAGCTTTCCCGGATTGAATCAGTACCAGTTTGATTGTAGGGCTGGACATTCTACGATGAAAGCCCTATTAAGGGTCTGGGAGAGTTTGGTCAAAATGATATGTTAAAAAGATTAGAATAGTACGGAAACTTCTGGAAAGTTTCATTGGGACGATGAAACCTTAGCTTGCAAAAGTTCGCCGTAAATAAAGTTCTATTTCCGTTTCTAATATAAGACTTGAGGAAGACAGTAGTGAAAAAAAAAGAAAAAAAACAAAAATAGTCTGTCACCCAAATTAAATGAAAATGCAAATAAATACGTGGGCGGTAGAAATAAAAAAAAAAGTAATATTAGTGGCTATAAATATAAAGCAAAACGGACCAATTGCAAGACCAATGAGGGAAAACAAAAATATGTGTCAATGATTGATGATGAAATCTTCAAAAATTTTGTTAATCCTTCTATATATGCTTTTGACCAATAGCAAAAAAAAGGCTCTTCCTTGCTTCCAAAACGAGGTCCATCCTCAATTCAAACCGAATCAAACGGGATTCTGCCTGCATAGAATTATGAAAAATATGTACGAGGTTAGCGCCAAAATTTCCCGGCATAGATGCAGCTCCAGTGTCACGATAAAACTTTGTTTTGGCTGTAAAAAAAAATTGAAGTCTTGCGTCAAATAGTTTTTTATTGACAGCATTTTAAACAGGACGTGTCCGAAAAAATGTCACAAATAACGCAAATTGGCTATCATAAAGTTTTTGACAAAAGAAGGGTTAGCATCTAAAATTATTAAAGAAAGGCTGGACGGTGTGTACAGCCAAAGTTCTGGTCGACTAGTGGAGGTCATAACGGAAGATATTCTTGAGATTGTGGAAGAGGTGTTATTGAGTGATCGGCGTTTAAAGGTCAAGGAAATCTCAGAAATTACTAAGCTTTCTGATACAAATGTTCGTCAAATCTTGCATGATCATCTAGATATGCATAAGGTTAGTGCAAGATGGGTTCCTAAAAATCTTTCGGCTATTCAAAAACAACGCCATGTCGCGTGTGCGCGGTCTTTTTTGGAACTCTGTGGGCCGGAACCGAAGCATGTAATAGAAACCCTTGTGACGGGAGATGAAACTGTGGTTCTCTATTATGATCCTCTATCGAAAAAAGAATCAATTAATGGAGTTGCGTCGTAAGGGTGAAGCACCTCCAAAAAAATTCAGTTTGCCAGTCAACAAAAAAGGTGATGGCCACGATCTTTTGGGATTATGAAGGAATTTTTTTGATAGATTTTAAAGAAACTAGTACCACTGTCACAACATTTTAACATAAACGTACTGACGAAAACTGACCAGAGGCGTGCGTCTTTTGCACGATAAGGCACCTGTCCATACTACTGGTGTTGCACAAGCTGCCATTTTAGAGTGTGGGTTCCAACAGATAGATTATCCTCTCTATAGTCAAGATATGGCACCCAGCGATTATTATTTGTTTGGATGTTTGAAAAAGTACTTACGTGGACGGCGGTTTAACGACGAAGTTGAGTTAAAAGAGGCTGTTTTACCTCATTTTGCAGACAAACCAAAAGGATATTTTGTTAAAGAGATGTAATAAGGGTATTGAAGTTAAGGGGGATTATATTGAAAAATAATAAAAAATTGTTACTCTACTTTGTTTCTTTTATATTCAAGCCAGGAAATTTTGGCGCTGCCCTCGTAAATATTTTTCTCTACTTATTTTGCGTCAACTAATCGCTAGGTGGTGCTGCAACTAACCGGCGATTTGGATGGCCAATCCGAGCGCGACCGCAACTGTCTCAATTCGTTACTGCAAGCCATCTACGAGGAACTTCAATTCGATCGGGACGCCGGCCAAACCATATGCGTGAGGTCGAAGACCGGCGAGGTCCACCTGCTGTTCCTCAAATTGATTTGTAAGTGTTCGCGATCGCGGAGAACCGCCACCGCCCTCTAACGCATATCGTTCGCCCCCTCTCCAGCCAATTTACTGCAGAGGAACAAATCGGCGTCGACCACGAAGACTGGCCCCACCGACAAAGCGAACTTTGTACCGCGTACCGCCGCCACGTCCCTCCACAAGGCGGGCATCATTAACTACTGCCTCAAGATCGCGCAAACGTTGCTCGCCGATTATTGGAAGAAGCAGTCGCAAGAAGAATCAGGTGGCGCGCCCTCTATCGGCACCTTATTAAAGCCTCACTTGGCCCGCCCCCTGCCCGACATGATGCCGTTTTTCCCCAAGGCGCACCTGAAAGAGAACTCCACCGACATATTCGCCAATTACACGCACCTGCTCACCGAAATCGTCCTCAGGCTGCCCTACCAGGTGCAGCGATTGTCCGACGTCGTCGAATCCGTCACCGTCTCATTCGACGGGCCGTGGTACAAGTACCTCTGCGAGTACATGATGGCGTCGCTTCCGCCGGCGTCGCGACGCAACGCCCGCAAACTCCTGCTCTACATCTGCGGCAACAAGGAGAAATACAGACAGCTGCGGGACCTGCACACCCTCAAGACCCACATCAGGGGCGTGAAGCGGTGCTGCGCGACCGGCGGCTACCAGCAGGACACAGACTTGCAGCACGCGCTCGGCCTACCGTACGACTCGTTGGTCGAACTGGTCGAGCATCTAAAGGCCTGCCAGGACATCGCGTTGTTTCGCACGGGTAACTGGCAGCGGTTCTGCATGCACACCGACGACGTGCTCGCCTTTTTGCTCCGGGTCAGCTTCCTGCTGGACGACGGCGTCGCGCCGACCATCCTGCAGCTTCTCGCCAGCGCTCTCGTCGTCAACGCGAATCAGCCCAAAAAGACGGACGGGAGCGGCAAAAGCGGCGCCCGAAAGGAGCGCGAGAAATCCGACGATTCTGGGGTGGAGGCGTTGTTCGAGGAGTCCAACTGCGTCGCCCTCGTCGAGCAGATCAATCGGCAGGTTTCGAAAGAGATCCTCGCGCGTTTCGTGAAAACTTTCACGCTGGAAAATAACACGACGACGGTCAGGTGGCAAGCGCACGGTCTGGTGCTCGCCGTCTACAAAAACTCGAAACCCAGCGAGCAGGAAACTCTGCTCCAGCTGCTGTGGCAGCTGTGGCCCCTGTTGCCCGCTTACGGCAAAAAAGCCGCGCAGTTCGTCGACCTGTTGGGTTATTTTTCGCTCAAGTACACCGAGAAGAAGGAGGGCGCGGGCAAGATCGACGAGTACGTCGAGAAGGCGGTCGCGGTGCTCAGGGCGCAGAACGAGATGCTCGCGCATCACGCGAACGCTAGCCTCTACGCGCACATGTCTCAGTTCGTCGACCTCGACGGTTACTACTTGGAATCGGAACCGTGTCTCGTGTGCAATAACCCCGAGGTGCCGTTCTCGTCGATTAAGCTGTCGTCGGTGAAGGTGGACTCGAAGTTTACCACCACCACCCAAATCGTCAAGCTCTTGAGCAGTCACATAATCAGCAAGATCACCGTGCGCATCGGAGATCTGAAAAAAACCAAGATGGTGCGCACGGTCAACATTTATTACAACAACCGGACGGTACAGGCGGTGGTCGAGCTGAAAAACAAGCCCGCCCTCTGGCACAAGGCGAAGAAGGTGACGCTGCAGTCGGGCCAGACGGAAGTGAAGATCGAGTTCCCGTTGCCGATAGTCGCGTGCAATTTGATGATCGAGTACGCCGATTTCTACGAGAACATCCAAGCGAGCTCCGAGACGCTCCAGTGCCCGAGGTGCAGCGCGTCTGTGCCCGCGAATCCGGGCGTCTGCGCCAATTGCGGCGAGAACGTGTTCCAATGTCACAAGTGTCGCGCGATCAACTACGACGAGAAGGATCCGTTCCTTTGTCACGCGTGCGGCTTTTGCAAGTACGCCAAGTTCGATTTTACGCTGCAGGCGAAGCCCTGCTGCGCGGTAGAACCGATCGAGAACGACGAGGACCGCAAAAAGACCGTCTCCGCTATTAACACACTGCTCGAAAAGGCCGATCGTCTCTACAAGCAACTCATCGCCAACAAACCGACCCTCGAGTCCCTCGTGCTGAAAATAACCGAACACAGGACCGACAAAAAAGCGGAGGAGGCCGTTCCGGGGACCGCTGCGCAGAACGCCGTCGGCGCCGCCCAAATGTCGCAAGTGAAGGTGAACAAGACGATCCAGATGCTCGCCCAGCAGTACTGCACTGAGTGCAAGACGTCGTTCGAGGAGCTAAGCAAGATCATACAGAAGGTGCTCGCGTCCCGCAAGGAACTGGTCATGTACGAGCGGAAACACCACGACATGGACCTGCCGGAGTCGACGTCGGTGTTTGACGATCTGAACGTCGCCGCGACGGTGCCGTGCGTCGCGAATAAATGCTACGGATGCGCGACGGCCGCGACCGAACACTGTCTCACCCTGCTCCGCGCCCTGGCTTTGAACAAAACGACCAGGCAGACTCTGTGCTCGTACGGACTGATCCAGGAACTGGTTTGGAACAACCTGCGCAAGGGCAACGTCCACAACCAGGAAGACGTGCGACTTTTGCTCTGCACTCTGACCAGGGACAACCCGGAGGCGACGGAAGACCTGTGCGACCTCCTCATGCGGCACATCACGAACAGCTTGGACGGTCACATCAACGGCACCGACTTGGGCGCCAATATCCGGCACGAGATAGCGCTGCTGGCCGCCATGGTGCAGAAGGAGGACGACTGCTGGGAGCTGAAGCTCAGCTGCATGATGAGTCTGTTTTTGAAGGCGTGCGAGGATTCGAGGAGCCCGTTGGTGATGGAGTCGGTCATTTTGCCATGCTTGAAGATCATACAGAGCTTGATAAAGGTATCGGGCGCCGCTACCGCCGGATCGAAGAAATCCTCCAAGGACAAGGACAAAGGTGGCAAAACGGCGCCCGTCAAGTCGGCACCCCCGAAAGCTCCGGTTGAGGTGCGCAAATTCCTGAACAAAGATTCCGCCCATTCGTTCGACGGGTGGAAATCGAGGGTAGCGAAAAAGTGCGAAGCGAAAACCGTGCCCGGAAATAAGGCGGAAGTACGGAAGCTGTACCTGACAGAAAAGTACGCGAGGAAGTGGTGCAGGGGTCGTGCGAAAGACCGCCCACCGTTAAGCGCCGTCTCATGGCTGGAAACTGTACTTTTCAACGCGAGTTCTAGGCAAGCACGGACCGTCGCCTGCAGCATCATCGAGGTTATGTGCGACGATTACGAACGGAAGAAGCAGGTCATCACGTTGCTGACCTGCTTTTTGTCAAAGCTGAGCGAGGCGGGAGAAAGTGCCGCCGAATTTTTGACTCTGTATCAGAATCTGATCCGGGAGGTGCCGTGGAAGCAATATCTAACGGTCAAGGGTCTGCTCTTGGTGCTAGCCAACTTGATGACGCTCGAGATAGAGCAGCTCCACCGCCTCGAGGCGACTACTCTGACCTCGGACCTGGCCCAGGGCTACGCCTTGAACCAGCTAACGGAGCTGCTAGCGTCGTTCCTCGAAGATCAAACAATTCGTAGACAGTACAAAGGAAGACTGGTGGGGGCGGTTCTCAACGGGTATTTGTCTTTGAGGCGCCTGGTCGTTCAACGGACCAGGCTAATAGACGACACCCAAGAGAAGCTCCTAGAACTGCTGGAAGAGATGACCACCGGCACGGAAGAAGAAACCAAAGCTTTTATGTCAGTCTGCATCGAGACAGTCGAGCGGTACAGCCTCCAAGACATCTTGACGCCCGTGTTCATATTCGAGAGGTTGTGTTCAATCATCTACCCAGAAGAGAACGACATTGGCGAGTTCTTCCTCACCCTAGAGAAAGATCCGCAGCAAGAAGATTTTCTCCAGGGTCGGATGCTCGGAAATCCTTATTCAAGCACGGAAGCGGGTCTGGGGCCGTTGATGAGGAACGTCAAGAACAAGATCTGCCAGGATTGCGAACTGGTCGCTCTGCTAGAGGACGACAACGGCATGGAGTTGCTCGTAAACAATAAGATAATGAGCCTAGACTTGCCCGTCAAGGACGTCTATAAAAAGGTGTGGCTCGCGGAGGGCGGCGACCACGAGGCCATGAGGGTTGTGTACCGCATGCGCGGCCTCCTAGGTGACGCCACCGAGGAATTCATAGAGACCCTGGACAACAAAGGTCAAAACGCTGTCGACAACGAGGAGGTGTTCAAGATGGCCAACGTGCTCGCGGAGTGTGGCGGCCTTAAGGTCATGGTGACCCGTCTGGGATCGATTCAAAACGTGTGGCGGGCCAAGCCGCTGCTCCAGGTGCTCCTAAAGCTGTTCCGTCTCAGCATCAAGGTCAACAAGTGTCAGGAGGAGCTCATCGAGCCGGAACTGAGGGCCATGGAGGTGTTTCTACGGATCCTTCAGCTGTGCTTGGAGAAAGACACCGATGCCACGCAGCCGGCGGTCGTCGAACAGCTGCTCGACATCATGGAGGCGCTGCTGTCGAAAGCGACCGCTAAACCGCTCGAGCGTTTCGAGCAACTTTCGGTGACTTTCGGCGGTCCCGAATACGTCAAGTCATTGCTGTCGTTCACCACGCATCCGACCATTAAAAACAACGCGTCGGTGCTCGAGCACCTGACGAGGGTGTTGGCCGCCCTGGTCTACGGGAACAACGACAAAATGGAGATCCTGTTGAGTCACTTTAGGGCGGTGCTCGAGTTTAACGTGTACGATTTCGAGCACACGCCGGAAGACCAGCAGCGGCTCGAGATGTTCTGCATGCTCACTAACAGCATCGAAAGGAACGCGATCGGCAACACCCTGAAGGACTACATATTGTCCCTGAACATAGTGAAGGACGCGCTCGAGTACATCACTATGCACGCGCCCTGCGTCAAACCCACCCTGCTCAGGACTGACAGCGACGAATTGAAAGATTTTATATCGAAACCGGCGTTGAAGTATATCTTAAGGTTAGTAGTTTCGAGTACGTTTAAACTACTGTACGGTACCCGATAACCATTTTCTTCGCAGGTTCTTGACCGGTCTGGCTCATAGCCACGAAAACACCCAGCTGGAGATCGCCAAGGCGGACACCATACCGATCGTCCACCGTTTGGAGCAGGTTTCATCCGACGAGCACGTCGGATCGCTGGCGGAGAACCTTCTGGAAGCGTTGTGCACCAATCCGACGGTAGCCGAACAGATCGAGCAAGTCCGAGAGTTCACCAGGTCGGAAAAGAAGAGGCTAGCGATGGCGATGCGGGAGAAGCAGCTCGGCCAGCTGGGAATGAGGACCAACGACAAGGGACAGGTGACCGCGAAATCGACGATCTTGCAGCAGATGGAGGAGCTGGGCGAGGAGTCGGGTCTCGTATGTTGCATATGTCGCGAGGGCTACAAGTACCAGCCGACCAAGGTGCTCGGCATCTATACGTTCACGAAACGCTGCAATATCGAGGAATTCGAGACCAAGCAGCGCAAGACGGTCGGCTACTCGACGGTCACCCACTTTAATGTCGTCCACATCGACTGCCACATGAGCGCCGTGCGTCTGGCGCGCGCCAGAGACGAGTGGGAGAGCGCTGCGCTGCAAAACGCCAACACCAAATGCAACGGGCTGTTGCCGCTGTGGGGCCCCCAAGTGCCCGAATCCGCGTTCGCGAGCTGTCTCGCGCGCCATAACACTTATTTGCAGGAGAGCACCAATCACAGGTGAGGCATTCTAACCATAATACACACTAATTCTTCTTTACTCGCCTTCTTCATTACTGATGGTTGGCGACATGACGGCAAATTCTTCTCTATTTCTTGCCGTTCTCAATCGGGTGCATGTGTCTGATATCTTGTCCACTCTCTTATGTTTTTAAGGCACGAACATTTTCGTCTACCGGGACCCCTCCTGCCCTCTACCTTTCCTTCCATGACTAGTCTCAAAAGTTGATATTTTTCTCCTCTATTGGAGTACAGTATATTCGTATATTGGGTCGTAAGTTTTGATTTCTGCTGACGACCATCACCTTTGTTTTTAATATATTTATTGTCACGCCATGAAGATCACGTGATTGTAAGCCGGATGGCCGTGTCGTCTGCATAGCGTATATTGTTAAATATTTTATCGTTCTCCTTTTGCCAATTTCGCTGTTCTCTAATGCTAGTTGAACTATATACTCGGATACGGTGTCACCAAACCGAACGAACCCAGTCTGTTCCCAACATCATTTTTTTATTAGTTTAATGTCTTCGTAGCCTAGTCTCTGTGCTAAATGTTGAATGTTTGATGCGATCAAACGCCTTTTTATAGTCAATGCAACAAAGGTAAACGTCGTTTCTCTGAGCGCTTCCCTAGTCCCAAGTCCTAATCGGAATCCAAATTGTTCGGGACTTATATTTGGTTCGCATTTCAAATAGATACGGCGACGTAATATTTTTAGCATAATTTTTAAAGTACGGCCCATTGAATTAATTAATCAAGAGGGAAAGTTCTGGAACTCTACACTCTGTTAAAGAAGTTGGCGAGTTGCTAGAGATTTTCTTGATCCAACAATTTCAACACTTCTCTTTCCCGCTCTTAGTTGATTTTATTGCTGCATTTACTTCTGAAGTTCAGATATTTGTTATCGATTCGTTGTCATGTTGTATTTCAGGTTCCATCTGACCCATTCTTACTCGCTCGATTGTTCTTATGGCCGTGTTGTTTGTTTAATCGCCATATTTAGTGGTTCAGTTATTTCTCTGCGGACTTCTGGATTCGTCAGTTTTTCCAAATTAGGTCTTCATTGTATATAATGTTTGGTTTTGCTAAGATTTTCTTCTTGGCATGATTCTACCAGAAGATCGCTTCGTTAATTTTTTTCACTCAGGCGCACTAATTAATTAAAAAAACCACAAATGGGAGGTGAGAAGAAAAGAAAGCGGACCATGAATTACATTACATTTAGAAACAATATATATAGTCAATCTCAATTATATCTCACAAACCAGCAACTTGGTTAAAGTTTTGGACACATTTGATATATTGTTACTCCTATTGCCCATGCCAAAGAGTAGGAATCACTTTTTGACACAATTCAGGTTCTATGCCGGCTATGTCGCATCTAATCACCTGTTTCAGCTCTGGAATAGTGTTTGGTTTATTTCTATACAGTCTGCTTTTTAGATACCCAAAAAAAAATCTAGGGGAGTAAGATCACATGATCGCGGCGGCCAATTGATATCGCCGTTACGTGAGATAATCCGACCAGGAAACTTGCCCCGCAGCAATTGCATCGTTTCTCTGGATGTGTGACAAGTGGCGCCATCCTGTTGGAATCACAAATTTTCAATGTCCATACCTTCCAACTGCTCCCAGAAAAAATCAGATATCGTGTTTTGATAGCGAACACCATTAACCGTAACAGCGTTCTCCGCATTATCCTCGAAAAAAAAAGGGCCAATTATTCCTCCGCACCAAACAGTCGCTTTTTGAGGATGCATTGCTATTTGAACAATCTCTCAAAAATATTTCAGATTGTAATGTGGAAACACTTACTGAATCACCCGTTCGAAGTGAGATTTAATAGATGAATATTCCAATTTACTCCCTATAAACGTGGTGTAAACAAGTTTAAGGGTGAAGATGTTGAACAGACTTCGCGCATTTTAGATATGAGATCAATGAAAGTAAAATTAGCGTCGAACACCCAGATCTCTGAACGTGCCACACCTCTCCAAAATATAGTCGAACAGTATGGGAAGATTATTGCTCCAGTTTTGTGATTCGTTGCAATCATTTTGTTTGGGCCGTGTCCAGAAATTTTATTTCATCAGCGAACATCAAATGCGCTTTAACTTAATTGATAAACCGTTGATGAAAATTAAAAAAAAATAAGGGACTTGTATTAATAAAAACTCTATATTCAATGAAAAGTTGCCTGCTGTGGAGATACGATTCCACTAAAATCAATAATTTGATCAAACGCTTTCTGGATAACTATGTATACAACATCGACTTATCGGTTTTTGACCAAAACTTCTGAAATATACCGAGTAATATACAGAATGTTAACAGTAGCAATATATTAATTTATTTGGAGTAATTTTTCCCGAAGTTACACAAAATTGCAATATGTTGGTAGTTTTTAATATCTTCAAAATTAGCCAGACTTATTTTTCGATATCTCTGGATTATAAGAAGAAGTGGCTCGATAAATGATCTTAATGGAATCATTCACAACGACGCTGGGGATATTGTTCACTCCAGCTGTCGTTTGGGGTTTTCATTTTTTTTTGATGCTATGTTAATGGCCTCTGAAATGGATCGAGTCCGAGCAACGTGATTAAAATTAGAACGAAAAAATACACTTGAAAAGAAATAGTCGATCTTAATAATATGCGTAAAAAACACATTATTGGCTTTTCTAAATTTAAACTGCGTTTATCGGATGCAACATTTATAATGTTATCAACAAACTCAAATTCAATATCCAAAGCGGTGTGGTAAATATCACGCGGTACGTTTGATCTCCTCGGAAAAGCTAAGAGGACATTTGAACTACTCAAGGATCGTTTATCGCAGGGACATCGGCCACAGCTCGACGATCCACGACCTGAAACTATTGCTGCTCAGATTCGCGCAGGAAAAACCATTCCACGAGGACACGGGCGGCGGCGGTCCGCAGAGCAACCTCCACATGGTACCGTACCTGATCCACGTGGGTCTGTATGTGATTAACACGTATGTAGGACGGGGCGTGGTCGTTCCGGTCGTTAGGATTGACTTTTTCTAGAACCAGGGTGTACTCGCGAGAGTCCGCCACGTTGGCTTCGTACACGACTGGCGAGCTGACCGTCGAGTCCGCGTACGTCGCAGAAGGTCCCCTTTACATGGCCACCATGGCGTTGTTCCTTAAGAGCAGGACCGAATGGAACAAAGACAAGCTCGCCCACCTCACGCGGCTTATTGTCACCGCGCACGCGCGCAACACGCAGCCCAGCGGTCCGGGCACCGGGTTGACAGACAAAACGATCAAGGACTACAGCGTCTACAAGCCGTACCTGGTGTTCTTCGGCCTTATCGACGGGATTTACGAGTTCTTCTTCAAGGTAAAGTTGGGCAATTAGCGTCGGAGGTCCGGGGGTTTTAGCGGGTTAGCGTTTCTAGGACGTCGAAGGCGAACAAGACCAGTGGCCCAACAATTTGGCCGACTATATACGTCACAACGACGAAGCGTTGATGAGGGCGTCCGAAAACCTACTAGGCTACTATAACCAGGACTTGCTTCCGTGCGCTTCTCTGGACGAGTTTTTCGACGTCGTCCGTCTGTTAGACGCGGTCCAGAACGACCCGGAGGACTACCTAGGTACGGTCTTAAACCGTGTAAAATAAATTGTAAAGAAAATTCACAAAAGGCTGTTTTTAATATATTTTATGCTTGCTGATAGTCGAATCAAATTTACTCTGTTGTACTAAATTAATGTATCTACCTATAAATTAAATCTTATTGGAGTTGATAAACGTTTTATTTCGCAGTCGGTTCGGTTAAATCAAATGATTCCCGGCGGCGGGTCGTAAATCCCAATCCCAATTTTTTACTTGATTTGGTGTTTAATGAACACCTCGGATATTTAAGGAGCATTGTGAATAAACAATGCAATGTAAAATTTCACTATTTTTATTTTGGAAGTTGTATTCTATAATACCATCTGAATATATTTTATTTAGTAAATTTTTGAATATTATGATATAGTTTTGGAGTGAAAGCAATTTTTTCGAGCAAAATGTGTTTGTTTTTGGGGAATTTTTGTTTTTACACTTAGCAAACGTAGTTTTATAAATGTTCTGACACTATTAATTAACTGACTAAACTTTATGGAAAAATATTTATCCCGTAGCTGGTGGGAGCATAAGGAAAACTAAAATCAAGGGACATGGAGATGTGCAGGGCTTTAAGTACTATATAAAATCCAGTATTATTTTTTCGGTTCTATAAAACCAACATATTGTTCATTAGGATTATTTTGACTATCTGATGAAGTCAAATTACCGGGCTCCCTTCACTTAAATTTTTTAAGTATTTTTTCTCGAGAAATTTTAATTTTCTTGATAAGTCTTCTGGAGTATTTATTGGACCTTTATTCCGCTTAGATTTTTTCTGTCCAATATTTAGTATCACATAATTTTGAAAAGTGAAACTAAACACTTCACTTATAAGTTTATGAAAATAAACCTATTTATTTTGCTGTAATTTTTATAAAAAAAAATACCTATAGAAATTGCGCCGTGTCTACCGAACTTTTTACACGAAAAGGGGTCGAAAACCACAGAATACGCCAAAAGAAAGCAGAGACTGAATGTTCAGACGTCGTTTCTGTTGGTGGCGTTACGTAGATTAAATTTTCGCATTCTGCGCTTCTAACCTACAAAATGTATACAAAAATAATGCGAGCCAAATAAAGTTCCCCACAAAATTACATGCCAAATGACTTTGAGTAGGTCACTGGAGCAGCTTTTTAAGCGAAAATCGGTGAAATACGGCATACCGTTCCTTCTATTGGTGGTGGGCGGTTCCTTCGGATTAAAGCACTTTGCCAGTTTGAGGTAAACAATCCCAAAGTTCTTTGGGTTGATTTTTAGGGATCGTTTTCCAGGTTTGAGTATAGGAAGGTGACGCTGATCACGCCTGAGATAGCGAAAGAGCTTGGGATCGAATTGAAAAAGCCAGGCACTCTAGAATCTGAGTATGAGAAAATAAAAGACATGGATATTGATAACTGGAAGCAGGTCCGCGGGCCCAGACCGTGGGAGCAAAATGAACAGAGCTGAATTGTCTCGGTTCTGTCGTGATGATATTTTCGCTATAGTTGTTATTTATAATTTTAGAAAGTGGAAAATATAGTTGGAAAAAATATGGTATTGATTTCCATTTTCTTACTTTAAATATGTTATAAGTTTTTCGGAACTGAACTGAAATAAAATAGACACAAAACTTCGAAACAAAGTTTCTATCTACGGCACTGGTAGGGTAGAATATTTTAAAGCGGAAAAGAACCAATCTAAAATCTAACCTCACATCGTCATTTTGTCGTGAGCATTGCACATGGCGGTGTAAATTCTGCCCGCGATCGTCAGAATCCTTGGTAATCGTCCCAAAAAACTTGATTAAATTTATTTGTGTAAAGGTTTTAAAGTGTGTAATCGTTGTCGCCCCGCAGTGTTTGTTTTCCAAGCCGGTTAAAGGTCGGATGAGCCGAGGAAGGCCGTTTTTTTGGCATCGGTCAAAATACTTTTTTTTTGAGAACCAACTAAGTACCAGACCCATCTCTTACGAAGGTATCCTTTAGAAATTTTGAAACAATTGGAAGTAAAAGAAGAACCTCACGTCGTATAATATATCTAATAATTTTACAGCAAAAAAAGTATTGTGTATTTTGGAGGGAAAACAATGTTTTATTTTTACCACATCCTTAGATAATAAATCATTTTTCTTCGCGGACTGTTAGGTAACGGAGATAATCAGAATGTTTTTTTGTTAAGTTAGCGATCTCATAATCATTTTATTTTTCTATGGTTGGTAGTTGCCAGCCGCCTGTAATTTGTAACAAGTTCCTTCATTTTGTGTAGCAATTTGAATAAAGTGTTTATTAGTAGACCAACAAGAGAAGCCATCAAGGTAATTAAGTTGTTACTTGTAGATTTTTTTGCCTGTTTGGTCTGCAAAGCTGTTAGAGGATAAATGTCACCAAATGACATTAAATTTTAAAAGCCGCATTTTAATGGACTCAGTAATGCTATGCATGATCTGCCGCATCACAGATGGCGCCGGATACATATTGATTTTTATTGGAATTGATAGGAACAGCGACACTTCAAATGGTTTGCAAATTTCAAAACTTCGATATCGCTAGTTTGATGTTGCAGGAAGCAGAAAAACAAGGTATTTAATTAATTTGTTTATTTATAAATATTAAGGTCCCTTCGTGCGAAACCTTTAAGTGATAGCCCTTGCCTTTGTAGCAATTTTATATTTTCGTCTGATTTGCAAAAATAACTAGTCATGGGGCTGGTGTGCACCAACAAGGGATCGCACGAAGAGCATAGAGGACAATTTGCCCTAGAAGTGCTACAAAGGCATCCGTAGGTAATATTTACAGTTATTTACAAAATTTCGAATATTATTGACGTGATTGTCACACATAATAACAGAAACAAACAAAAGGAAAACGGAGGATACAAAGCATTTGAAAATTTCGTAACCGAATACGAATAATAGGAAACCGAAATAATACAAGTTACACTTTTTTCTTTCCTAAAAAATAGTACATACAACGTGGACTAATAAAGAAAAAACAAATTATCGTCGTTAGGTATACAATATAGTACATATTATACTTTTTAATTACTTTTCGATAAATATTTGCTGTTATTTTCTTTGAAGGCACTATAATTTAAACGGCATTTTTTAAATGGACCTTTCAGCATGTTCAGTAGCAATATATCGTGACTAGAAGAACCTTATACTAACAAGACGCATTTTCCTCGACATAGAAAAATATTCTCTCAATATAAGTACCTTATTTGCTCGATCGAAGTGCACTTTTCGACTGGTAGCGAAGGCACCGTCAAGGAAACGCTTCGAGAATTACCTTTGCGGGCCGCTCGTCTCGATCGCCAAACGCAAAACGGTGGTCAATTTCGGTGAATTCGCGAACATAAAAATTTATTGGCGGTCGACGGTGGCGGTGTTTTGCAAAGACCAAAATGAAATTTTTTTAAAATTTGAAAATGGTCCCTCGCAACTACGAGACTATAGAAGAGTCTTTCGTTTAAAGCACCAAAATACACTTATACTTATATAACCTTAAATTGACATCTCGCTAGGTTCGGAGATGGGATAAGGCATGCTTTGGGGGTGGGGATATTCCTGAAATAATGTATTTCTTGCAAAGAAGTGGCAGAGGAGAATTTGATTCCGCTTACACGTGTAATTAGTACGCTTTCGTTCACGAGTACAAAAATACAAAATAAAAACCAGGACGGATCAGACCATCGCGTCTTCCTCGAACCCTCTCTCGGTGATGCCTCCAGCCTTGTTCACCGGCGCGCTTTGATTCACTATTTGTAAAATCCGCCCGCACCATTTTTTTTTAAATAAAGAAAACCACTTTGCACCTCGGCATGAACAGTTCGAAACCGCGCCACGCCCCTCGTTCCGATCACCTACAGGGCGACAACAGTATTTCTAACCAGCACGGACAGGAGGTAATCTCCTGCCGTGTGTAACCGGTGCCCCATCCTTTCACGAAACTGATCCTGCAACAAGGAAAAAGGCGGATTAGGCTTTGGTGTTCTCCGAGGCTCTCGCCGCGGTCCTCACCTTATCGAATTCGGATCGGGGGCGGGTCCGTGGAAGCGTACCAGGTTGCCCCACCCGTAGTCCTGCGGGTGGGAGCCGGTCGCCCTCGAAGGGTCGTAGACGCATATGCAGGTCTCGGCAGGTACTTTGATGGGCTGGGGGACCGCACCAGGTCCCGAACCAACCTCGTTCTCCAGGTACAACGACGTGACGAACACGGGAAATTCGGAACGGTTGTAGAGCCAGACGCAGCCGTCCGGTTCCCGGCTAAGGGTCACGCCTGGAACCAAAAAGAAAACCACTCTGTTAGGGAAAACAAGAACCTTTTGCAGCTATTGGAAAAATTGATTACTATTTGATGCTGATTTACGCAGAGGTGGTTGCAAGAAGTTACCAATATTGGCACTCCTGAATTTTAGTTGAGATTATCATGTTTTTTTTTTTATCCTCTGGTGGAGATGCAGTTCTAGAGTAACGAATTGTGTGTCTGGTTTATGATAAAATTCAAACCAGGTGTTATTTTAAGTAAAATTTGAACTTGCTCCTTAACTTGTAGAGGATGGTTGCTACACATATTTTCTCAATTTCAAAGCCTCATTACTTTTTGTTCAACCCTGTATTATATTTTTGGAAAAAAACCAGCTTGACAAGTTACTCGCTGAAACTATTTCTTAAAATATAGAAGAATATACAGGATATGCGAAGAAAGAGTAGCGGAAACGCAGTTTGGCTTTATGAAAGAGATGCTTTGTTTAGTCTGCAAGTGCTGTTCCAGCGATGCCCTGATGTAAACTGTGACGTATATGTTTGCTTTATCGATTATGAGAAAGCGTTCGATAAGGTACAACACGAGAGGATGACGCAAGTATTGAAGAATATTGGAACTTATACTGGAATCAAACAGCTATCATAAAGTCTGATACAGCAAGTCAATGCCATTGCTATACAAAGTGGCGTTAGACAGGGATGTATTCTTGTACTCGGAGAAAATATTCGGTACAGCCTTGAAAAATATCGACAATGGAAATCTACTGAACGGAGAACGTATTAACAACATTCGATATGCAGACGACACTGCTGATAGCTTGAATGACTTGCAAGAGTTAATGAATAGGATAAACGACGCTAGTGACCAGAATAGAGAAAAGAGAAAGCAAAGCAAGTCTTTATCAAAATGTCAAAGCTTTTTAAAAGCCACAATCTAGACCTGAACATCAAAATCAGACTCTTAAGAATACTTTTTCATGACACTCCTCTACGGAGTGGAGCCGACACAAAAAAGGCTGGAAGCATTTTGGCTGTAGCGAAGAATTCTGGTGAGAATGAACAAGGAAAAAGAAGTGATAAAATAATATAAATACCTATAGAGAAGAAAACTTGAGTATCTAAGCCATAAAATGCGAAACGGTACGGTAAGAGAGGACCTGGAAGACGAAGAACCACTGAATTATTCAGAGCAGCTGTGAACAAGAAAGATCGCTAATATTCAAAACGACTAGGCACCTGAAGAAGAATGTCTGAAGCATCATCATTGTGTGGAGATCCAATGTCGCATAGAAAGAGCTGGAAGCACTTTCACTTCAATGAAAAACCTAGTCACCAACGGAAAGGTGAAAAAACGAATAGTAAACTGCTACATATATCCGGTGCTTGGTATGGAGTATACAGTTGGACAATATCGGATGCTATGTAGAAAGGAATTAATGCCTTTGAGATGTGGATTTACGCAAGAATCCCGAAGATACCTTGGACTGATCACACAACAAATAATTAAGTCCTAAACAGAATGAGATGCCAGCCACAACTCTTACTCATAATTAAAAAAACGTAAACGTAGAAGGAATGAGAGGACCGGATAGAAGGAGAATCTCCTTGTTGGCAAACGTTCGCAAATAGTATGGTACTATCTCCACCGAGCTATTCGGATGTGCTGCCAGTAAAATTCGAATAACGATGATGATCGCTAACATCCGACACGGATAAGGCATGAGAAGAAGAAGAAAAATCTAGAATTCCATTATTTCGGGTTCTTGTGGAGTGATGGCTTGTCTTTGCATCGAATTCTGGGTTATATAAGTACTGAAGTTCATGAGAATAACAGTTAAAGGTTATTTTCACCTTTTTCTACCTTCAGTCACATACGAGCAGATGCACTTGTCCTGGTTTTTGGGTTATGTATAGACTCATAGATATGAAGATGACATTTAAGAGACCCTTTTTTATCTTTGGCCCATTGTGTTCTTATAAGAATGACATTTTGCTGCATTTTGCGAAGCTGGATAATCTAAAACTACATTGTTTCGCGTTGTATCATGAGTCCTACCAGAATAGTAGTAGTTAGGGGTTGCATAAGATTCTTTTTTACGTTTGGTTAGTTGTTTCGTGGTCTTGTGTATTGTCTGCCATGAAGAGATGGTTTATGGTTTAGCAAAAACCATGTTTAATGATTATCGAGTGAAGTTAGCTAAATCTAGTAAAGCTATCGTCTCTAGCACGTTAACTGTGGAGTTTTACCTAAACCGATCTTGGACCTCGTGGTCTTCGACGCTTCGGTAGGTCTCTGGTTCTGCGGAGACAGCGCCTCCAGACTAAGACCATCCATACCGTAAGGCACGTGTCCGAACACGTTCACAGCCCTCGGCTCGACAGGGAAAAGGGGACCCACCCGTTCCTGGAGCTCCCAGTACGCCACCTTGCACCATTCGAGGGGATTCGTCATGCGCACATCTGAAACAACAAGTCTTTTTTAAAAGAGTTGACACGCTGTTTGCGCACATCATCAAATAACACGTTTGTTTTGAACTCCTTTTCACCATGGCCGTTAGAGGGCGCTCTACGCGCTGCTACTTCTGACGGCTTCGAATGATCGCAATTTTTCCTCAGTGTAATTTTTTAAGCAACATAACAAACATTAAAACTTATCATTCAAAAAACCGTGTTTATTAATTTTCAGAAAGTGGTTCCCGGAATGCGAAAATAGCACTGAGAAAAAAGTTACGGTTGTTATAAACCATCAGAGCGGGCCTTGTATTTCGGAAAGTGTGGCAACGCCGTATGCAAATCGCATGACGTGCATATTGGCCGTATCCCTAAGGACCGGTTTAACTTAAATGTTGTGTGCTGGTTAGGGCATTTAGCTCCAGGTTACCTTAAAAATATTAATCATTTTATTTGAAATTTGAACATATCGATTAAAGTGATGTTGATGGTGATTTTTCCGATGTTTAGGAATACCGCAAGATTTGAAGGCCACCATAATATCCTCTTTTTTACATTTCTGGTGAATTCTTTTATCTAATCATATTTTTAAACAAATCTAAATCTTGCATTATGCTGGCATAATTTTCAAGAGGTTCTGTAAACATTTGTTAAACATTTTGGCTCGTAATTATAATCTTTCTCGACAAACTCGAGTGTAGGTGGGTATATTGTTAAGATTGTACTTAAAAAAAAAACGCATATTTTTTATTTTTATTTTCTGTTTTTCATTCCTACGTATATAGAATTAAACAAAACAGCACCCGTTTTAAAAGCTTAAGCTGGGAAAAATGTTATTTGGTATGGAATCAGAAATGGTAATGGGGATGCTTGTTGGAACAAACCTATAGCCGACGCGCGTTCAGAAATGGCACTGGAATGCTGATTTTCGGAACAAATCTACAGTATACCGCATCAGAAACGTTATGCGTACGCTTGTGGGAACGAACCTAAAGTATACGTAAACTTAGATACGTGCGTGGAGTCACGACGCGAGGTAGCGATCCGTCGACTTTTCGGCGGCAAGGTCGCGTCGATTAGGATGCGTTCGCGGCGATTTTCCGGGCGCGATAAGGGCCGCACGCCGCTGGCCGCTGCGTCGCCGTCGTCGCCGCCGGAGGCGTTAAACGACTATAAAATAACCGACTGCGCAAAAAAAAATGAACGACACCCGTATAACATTGGAATAATGGGAATATTATGTTTATTAAAGTTGTTTACTATTACCGATGCAAATTCAAGTCGGCGCCGGTGCCGTTTAAAAATAGATTTCGTCGGCGACCGGATTTCTGTGACGATTTCCGATGGACAGAGCACACGATAAGGTTGAGACGACCAGCGCCTCGCTATCTACCGCGCAGCGAATCACCCTGTATGTTACCGTTTTAGTGGGGTTACTTTCGATTATTCGGTCCTTCGAGCCGGATTCTGACCGGTGCACAGTGGAACAAAACAGACATTTTGTTGAACATTGGCCAATATTACTTAAATAGTATATAAGCTAAGATAACATAAGTAAAAGCAAAATACTAACGATTATCAGCTGTCTATAAATTCATCCAACATATTAAAAAGCTATATAAGCAATATAACTTTCTATTATATTCTACTGTATTATACGTACTTTACTATATTCTTTTTATTATATTCCACCACCACCGGACAAGTCTAACAAATCTAAACCTTCTAATCCGACATAATCCGAATTTTCAACGTTTATGACTTGTTTTCCGTCAAATTGTTATTGTGTTGGATCTTAGTGAATAGATAGTGTCTTTTAGTGACATAACTGTTCCTGGTTTTCGCTGTTTTCTCCATACACGCCGGTAACCAGGCCGGATGAATCCGGAGGTTCATTTTTTATAGTATCGAAAAAAAAATCGTCGACGAGTACCAGTTAGTCGGTGATCAATACGAATCGTTAACCTTATTTGTATTAAAGTTAAAAAAAAAAAATGTAAATTGTTAACCCTGCCCGTATTAATTGAACTCTAGTAGTGACTGGCCGAATGATCTTAGCGGTCGTGGCCAATACAACTAAAGAAGAAGAAGAAATTGCCGTATTCAGTTTTCGATTGTCCCAAAAAAAATGTGAGCCACGTCCAACATGTCACATGGCCTCTCATGGAGAATCGTTCAATAACCAAAAGTTATTCGTGTTTTTCGCAAAATTAATTTTACAAAGACCTCTCTGCAAACCTCAATTGACTTGGTTACGTCATAAGGTACCTAAGGAACGTTTAAATTCCATATTTGACCGATTGTAATTATGAGGGTCACTATACTATTCAATTAGTTTTATCGCTCCATCAATCGTATTGAATATACAGAGCATTTAAAAAAAAATGTTCCTCTAATTTCTAGAATTTTTTAAAAATAAGGTTAGTTGTTGTGTCCGGCATTTTTTTACACATTCTGAAACGAACGTTATTTTAAATTAAATGCTCACGTTTTTTGAAAGAAACTCTGCCCTATTCGTAATATGGCGTGAAGAATATTTCTGAAAATACGAAAAAAAAAAATGCACTCGCATAGTTGGCAACGCGAACCTCGTTCGCAAAAAAAAACACTCGTATTAATGGACCCATAAACCAAAAACATTTTAAACATTTTAAAAAGGTGTCTCCCATTTTATCCGCGCCGTCGTTTATCGTGCGCGTCGCGGCGCACAGTTTCCTAGAATATCCAATTTATCATTTCTCGTCAAACGGCGGTCGGTCGGGAACTGCCAAAACCGTTGACGAGTCCCGTGGGATTTTTTCACCGCCGCCGCCCCCCGTAGATTTCGGATTTTTTTCCCGAGAGCATTAAAAAAATAAAATTATTATCGACGTTATTTATTTTGACGTTTATCGCGACTGCGACCGGGCGTCTGCCAAAATTACAAAGTAACAAGCGTGCACCGTGTAATACTCGTTATATGACAAATGGAAAAATCGTTGTGTAGTTTTTCTTTTTTTGAACGCACTCCAAGAACTGTTGTCGCATGCGAACCCGGACCAACGGACATTGTGTAAAAATCAAGCGCGAGAATTAGGCATCCGTCACATTTAGACGCGCTGAACGGGTGTAAAATAAGTTTCATGGGAATTGGATAACGGCCGTTGTTAGAAAACTCGAATTTCTATAAATATCCTTTAAATTTGAAAATATACTTTACTGATATTTGTTCTTGACTAATGTGCACTAATATGTATTTACAGGCGAGGAAGCCGCATTTTTTAAATTACACAACCCCTATCGAACGTTTTTCGCGAATTTGAAACGCTACCGTCATCACATTAATTTTTAGGCATTTCTCAAAAATATGTACTAAAATAATATTTTTCTACGCCCGTCTGTAAAACACCCAATTGCGCACCGATCTAGACACTTCGGACATTTCCGGGATTTTACCGTACGGGTTTGGGAGCAATCGGATGACATTTATAATTTAAGTTTCCCTCGGATTCGTGGGAAACGAAACTGACATGGTAAAGTGGCGCTTCCCGTACTCTCGATCGGTACGTAATTGAGTATTTTACAGACGGGATTAGAAAAAATTATTTTAATACGTATTTTTGAGAAATGATTAAAAAAAAATGTGATGGCGGTAGCGTCTGAAACTAGCGCAAAACGTTCGATAGGAGTTGTGTAACTTAAAAAATGCGGCTCCCTCGCCTGTACCAAAGTTGCGAAGGCCCCGTACATTAACTATCGAACGGGTGTATACTTAAAAACCAGTTTGAAATCGCTGCTGCTCCTCGGCCCGCTGCGACGTAGAAAAAAAGGACGCGGTCAGCGAAAAACAAAAGATGAGCGGGACCACACAAGCAGAAAGAGAGAGGTGGTGGTGGTGGTACATCATGCAAATATTGCACCGAGCAAGATGATGTAATTATTATGACGGTGATGGTTAACTTCGGACCGGGGGGAGTAGCCACGTCGATGACGTCTCCTCGTCAGTTTAATCCAGTGGCGGCGGGTGAATAACAAACTTGGAATACCGACTACGGGAACGGTAGCGCAGCTCTTGCTCTGAAACAAAGGAGATTCTACCGCATTCTGTGCCGGACCGTTACGTCCGCCATTTTTCCGAACGATCACGCGTAATAATGAAATATTTTCCCATCGCAATTAGGTCGAAAAAACCAAATATGGCAGTAATTCCGTAAACTGACCACTAGTTAAAATGTCGATTCACGGATGGCCGGGTACGAGTAACATACGAACCGCAGGATGTCGATATGACTGTGACAAATTGCGATTCCCAGCGTTATCGATATTGGCCATAATTTGTCGTTCAATTTGGATTTGGATCGTTTAATTATCCAAACTACAGGAGACGAAATGATCTAAATAAATAAAATATAAGTTTACTTTAACCAGGAAAATCTCAAGTGCTAAAAATTCCAGGGAAAAAAGCAGCAGCGAGAGAGAAAGGAGATTGTATTTTCCTTCAATTCCTTCCTTCCTTCAACATTTAATTGCATAAAATTACTGTCAATTGCCCATCGCCCTCATACAGTGCTTCGAACCGTTTCAACATGAAAAGGCCGAAGATCATCATCAAAAATCGATTTGTAATAACACTTATCGACTTAAAACAAAAATGATAGTTTTTGAGGAATTGTGATTCTGACAAGCTATAACTCGGAAAATATTACGATTTCGCATTTTACCATTATTTTAGTACGTTGAATCTTTCCTGCAAGTTTCCGAACTCCATTTTCCGAAGACCCTGTAGTATGCTGAATATATGAATTGCCTTATGAATAGGAACGGCAAAACTGGCGTTCTGCAGAAACAAAAACGTACTCGTTTCGAGGAGTCTTCAACGATAGCATGAGTGGTCCACAAAGGAAATAGTTAGAAGAGGACGAACGCCATAACGTTGTTAAAGACGCACATACGGGCGAATTAGCATTTTTGGCGAAAACGGTTGTAGCAGGTGACGAGCGTGAACCGCCACTCCACCCCGCGGGGGCAGG